ATAAAATCACGCTGCCTTACCCACCCGCTCCGCGGCCACCGATACCCTCACGGTCGCAGCCGCACTCGGGGTTTTCGCACTTTATGTCCGCCACCACGGACGAGACTTCGTTGTCCGATGAGTATCGAAAATACCGAAGGCGAAATTAAAATGGGCCATGAGTTTGAAGAGTCTCTTAGAACGTTGCGTTCTTCTTTCTCACACGCAGATTAGAGGGTGGAGCGGGAGCCGCCTTCCTTGTGGTGTTCTTTCTAGAGCGCCAGAGCTTAGAAAGCAGCATGTGCACAGAGATAGGATTCTTGATATGCATAGTTTTACCTTCCTTGAGCTAACTACATGATGAGGTATTTGCCGCCTATCTTTCCAGTTCGCTACGTCAAGATTTATTTCCGAACATATACGTCAATTGCGGCGCTCTCTTGGGGAAAGCGCGGTCTCGGGGAGCAAAGGCGCCAGCCATCGGTAGATCGAAAACTCTCTAGCTTTGACCCACCGTCGCATCTCCCGTCACAAGCATTCAAAAAGTTCCAGTTTTCAAAGCATAGCGTTCGGTTATGTATCGGAGACTCTTAATACCCGATGATGACTCGGGGACGTCACGGAGAAGAAGCTCATCACAATTTCTTACATTTCTGAAAGTCTGCGACATCATCTCCTAACCTCATCTCTCCATTGCTTGCCATTTCCCTTTCCTCGATGGCATTCTTTTTACAGTACAGAGCTATACAGCGACATGTGAAGGAAGAGCTACAACGTGTAACTGAAGTTCCAGATCCATTGTCAGCACGCTTTTCCGACGAAGCACACGAATTGGGAGATTTGGAGTCACCCGGTAAGCTGAACAAAGGTGAACCGTACACACGGATCCCAGGTATCACGTTGAGGGAAGATGGTAACAGCCAGCTCTATTACCAGGTTGACTGGAGCGGACCCGATGACCCATTCAACCCCAAGCACTTCTCGACCCTACACCGTATCTTTGCGACACTACTCGTATGTCTCGTCGCTTTCGTTGCGACCCTTGCATCTTCTATCGACTCTGCTGTGCTCACTAGAGCGACTGCCGACTTTGGAGTGTCAGAAGTAGCGGAATCATTGGCCACTGCGCTTTTCTTGGTAGGGTTTGGCTTTGGTGCCTTGCTCCTATCTCCCCTCTCTGAGCTTCTCGGAAGATATCCTGTCTATCTTGGCTCCCTTTTCGTTTTTGCCTGCTGGACGCTTGGGTCTGCGCTAGCACCGAACTTTGGCGCTCAGATTGTCTTTCGGTTCCTAGCTGGGTTCTCAGCGAGCACTCCCTTGACGGTTGCAGGTGGCTCCGTGGGTGATCTGTGGAGTCCAGTGGAGAAGACATTCGCCTTCCCACTGTTTGCGATACCCGCATTTGGTGGACCAGTTCTTGGTAAGTTTGTTATACTCGTGTTATTCCTATCAAGACGATCCGCTCCTTGTTGGTTTTACTAACCAAAAGCAAAACAGGTCCTGTGATAGGTGCATACATTGGCTACGAGCAAGACATCAACTGGAGATGGACGGAATGGATAACGCTTATTCTGATTGGAGTTACTTTTACACTTATCTTGCTCTGCAAAAGAGAGTCATTCGCACCTCGCCTACTGCACTACAAAGCACAGCACTTCCGGAAACTTACAGGCAATCAACAGTTCAAGACCGCGACTGAAGCATCGCATGGCTCCATCGGTGAGCTCTTGTCTAGGTCTTTCACTCGGCCTTTTCTTCTCTGCACACAGCCGATTGTAGTGGCTTTTACACTTTATTTGATGATTGTTTACATCATTTTGTTTACGTTTCTAGACGGGTATGTGCCTCTTGAATGTTTCAGGTTGCAGCGTAGGGCGTGAATCGCTGACTTTCTTGCAGTTACCCTTACATCTTTGCGGAAACCTTTGGTATAAATGAGGGACTATCCAATATTTGCTTCGTTGGATTGTTCATCGGAATCGCCCTTTCGGCGCTCCTTGTTCCAATAGCCTACCACAAGACTGTGCGACAACTTAAGGAAGATGGAGACGATGGATCTGGCAAGACCATACATCGCGAATCGAGATTGTTCTTTGCCATGATTGGAGCGCCTACACTACCTATCGGACTCTTCTGGATGGGTTGGACTGACTATGTAAGTATACCATACACGCCCCCCAGTCATGTTCTGTATACAAGTCTAACAAATAATAGGCTTCTATTTCAATATGGTCACCCTTGGCAGCATCATTGCTTGTCGGCTTTAGCAATATTTGCATCTTCATGTCCGCATACATGTACATCATTGACAGTTACGAAGCATATGCAGCATCAGCCTTGACATTTGTCGCCTTGGTCAGATATGTTGCAGCTGGTGGCATGACAGTTGTCGGCATTCCCATGTACAGAAACCTGGGGACTCACTGGACCTTGACTTTGCTTGGTATCATTAGCGTTCTCGCGCTGCCCATTCCGTATGTACTATACCGCTTCGGACCGAGTCTCCGGAAGCGCAGCAAGTGGGCAGTATAAGTAGATTGAGGAGGGACGATAGCATTGTTGTTGCGCCCTATCAGACTGTATAGAAGCAATGTTTTTTCAATTCGATACTGGTGAGCAGAAACAATGGAAGAATAGAACGCCTTTGGTTCATCGTCCAGCTGTACTGCTTCCGGCGACCCACTACCACTATAAGGGGTGCTTGTTAATCCTGCTGCTGGTGTTTCGGCGAGAGTTGTCAACTCAACCGCTCCTGAACGTGCCTCCAGATTCTTATACATTAGTCTTTACGACTACTCTACGCGACTACCCTAACCGCAAACAGCACTGGAACGACTCTTCAGACGCGATGTTGTCTCCAAGTTTGGGAGAGACGCGTCGTGGCCTTACGATGTAATTGAGGTTGTTGGCGTCGAAGACAAGGAGAAAGGCACTACTGGATATTCAGGTTTGGAAGAAAATATTGCTGGTGATGGAAAGAAAGCTAGCGTTGGAAGTTGCTCGTGAAGGGATCCAACCTACTTGAGTTGGAATCACGATCCCCCATATGATGTTGGTAAAGGGGAGGGTGCGCTTCTACCGTCGCATGAAACAAGTCAAACGCATACAAGCACAAACCTCATGGTCGAAAACCCGTACCATGTGACTCACCACTCAACATGTGAAAGAAATCGGTCCCTTTAGAGAGATTATCGCTTCCCGGACCCGATTCTCATGATGCTCGGAGCCCAACGCGCGTCTTGTATCGCAATATCCGTGCAAAGTTCATTTCAAATAACGTTTTCTTCAACTCACGTCCTCTTAACAATTTACCGAGTCAACTCCCCTCCGCCGATCACTGCAGAAAGCAGTAGCATTTCCGTGTTCCCATCTCCCAACTCCGGTGCAAGCGAGAGACCCTCCAAAAACCCGCGGGGACAGGGGTACACAAGTCATTATCCCTACTTGCGAAAACGTGCCGCAATCATACATGTTGAAGGTTTGTCAAAAGGGTCAGCGTACCTGCCGTATACAGACATTGCAGCGTGGTGTGCGCCTCGGAGATTTTCTTTTGCCATGGTTGGGTATCGTGGGGGTCCACATGTAATTTGTAGGAAAATGGGGGTGCCGGCCAATGAGGTAAGGGTAGGAGCGTGCACGTGTGGCGTGAGGGAGGATAGCAGCTATAGGGAGTGCCGTTGCTAATGGTTAGGAATTCGATAACGGATGCTTTGCATGGTCACTGCGCGCGTAGGATTGGGCCCATGATCCACACGTTTTCGATGCTGCTTTACGTGAACGTCGCAGTTGCGTGGGGACCAGCCTTGCGGAAACTTCGGCTATAAGAGGGTTAGGCGGCACGCAGCAACGGCAGGGGCCGTTGAGAAGGAATGACGCATGTGTGATGGGATGACAGTAGGTTGCTGGTAGAATCGACCCTGTGTGGAATTTTGTATAGATGTGCCATGTGTTGATATTGTCATTGTAGTGGGCGCATAATGCATCATAGTCGGCCGTTGCTCATCGTGTCGTTATCTGCTCCCACTCTAGACATCCTTGAGCAGTTTCTCGATCTCTTCCAGGTCCTCAGCACTGTCGATCTCGATGATCCTGTTGACCTCGCTGGTATTGCGCATCAGCTCCTTTGCACCAGCGTACAGCATCTTCACCTCGCTGTTGCATGTTATGGGCAGGTAGTATAGCATGACGTATGGCACCGATAATCGTCCCGAGTCCTGTCAAGTCTCAGCCTCTCTCTCTCTCTCACGGTGTATGGTCGGCATAGCGTACGAGGGTCAACGGGTAGCTCAAGAGCACAAATCGCGGGGCATGGTCGGGCAGCTCGTCGGCGAGGCTCTGGACGTCGGAGTAGACATCGTCGTCTGCCTGGCGTACTTCGAGCGTCTTCTTATCGATCTCGTCTGGCGCGCATGGGCGTCAGCGCCATTGCATAGTGTGGGCCTATGGCGGGCAGTGGCAGGAACGACTGCGGCAAAGGCAGCAGGTATACGAACAGATGACGGCCTGGGGATCTTTGGCGCGCGAGGTGCCTAGACGGAACTTGCGTAGCTTGGTTTTGGTCTCATCGGAGAAGGTGTACAGTCGTGCCTCCGAACTCTGGGCCGAGGTATTAGCGAACCGGTGGATATGACGCGCGTAAGACGAAGGCGGCACTTGCCATGATGGCGAACAATGATGGGAAGACTTGGGTTCGCAACGGGTGTTTGACGAAGCTCGGGGAGGTGGTGTAGGGCTGAGGAAGTCTGACGGACGGCACGCGTTAGTGGGGTCTGTTGGCGGGGGTTCCTGAGCTGGACGGATGGCGCTAGCTAATGCACTACCATCATGTCCATACACCCTCAGCTTTGCAGAAGCCTTTCCTTCTCATGCACCTAGCTACTCATACCCTCTTTCCCCTGAGTTACTTCTCCTGATCCATGTTCGGACGACTGAATCAGGTTGCCAGACACTTGTCTCGTCCAATACCCAACTTTGCGCATCGTTCCGCCGTTTCGTTCCGCCCATCGATAACGTCATCAGTCATGGCTTCGACACAGCAAAAGAGCCTGATCCACACGGCAGGTTGTTTGGTTATCGGTGACGAAGTCCTTGGAGGCAAGGTATTCAGTGTCCATGTAGATCAATTCTTAGTCTGACAGCTGACGTGAACCATAGACAGTCGATACGAACTCGGTAGACTATACCACTTTAAAGTTGTGGTACATGGACTAATGTTTCACAGGCGTACTTTGCCAAATTCTGCTTCTCATTGGGCATCAACTTGCGCCGCATCGAAGTCATTGCAGATGATGAAGGCGAGATTGTAGAAGCCGTGCAACGCATGTCCAAGAACTACGACATGGTGGTGACGAGTGGCGGAATTGGTCCTACGTGCGTGCAGCATACTCGCTACACCACCCAGCCGCTGAGCTAACGGATGTCTAGTCACGACGACATCACTTACCAGTCAATAGCCAAGGCCTTTGGCCTCCCGTTGAAGTTACACGATGCGGCGTTTGAACGTATGAAGCGCCTCTCGAAGCCGCACAAGTCTCAGCCAAACTTTGACTGGAACGTCGAGTCTGCAGCGCTTACAGCAAAGAAGCGCATGGTTGAACTGCCTATTGATGAATCCAAGCCAGATGAAGATCAGGTTATTTTCGTCAGCGAGTCGCTTTGGGTTCCCGTTAGCGTCGTGAACGGTAACGTGCACATTCTGCCCGGAGTGCCTCGCCTCTTTGAAGCGATGCTAGACGGACTAAAGCCCCGCATCCTACCTAGATTGACGGATCCAGAGGGTAAAGGCGTGTTGCGGATCCTCATCTCGACTCCGATGGCCGAGAGCGCCGTTGCTGGATATCTGACCGAGCTCGCTGCCAAGGCGGAGCCAAAAGGGGTCAAGGTGGGAAGCTACCCACGATGGGGAAAGGACCACAACACTGTGACGCTAGTTGGACGCGATCGCGACTTCATGGAGAGCTTAGTTCCTGAAGTAGAGACGGCTGTTCAGGGGAGGCGCGTAGCTGTAGAAGGCGAGGACGACGGAGAGACGTCTGACAAGGACTCATAGGGGGTGGTAGAGGGTAGACTGACATTGCAGACGTGCCGCAGTCGGTCAATGTAAATATACATATATACATATATCGAGTGTCGAGATGCAGGGACCGTGTGTCAGAATGGAATGCCTGTGAAGATGATGTTGGGACAGACGGGTGTCAGCGAACCATGCGGCAAGCTTCTACAAATGTTCGAGAAGCAGCCTAAGCGCGTGCCACCAGGGCTGGGCGCTCACGCTGGACCCTGATACGACGGATAGATCGAGGGCAGATTTTGTGCGGTACAGGAGATTTGCTTTTCAAGCTGTCAATGGAATTAGGTGTCATGATTACCTTGACAACGTCGTTCTCGGGGCAAGGCTCGCGTGCATGACGATGGATAAGCCGCCGACCCCGCCCGTGTGACGCTCCCCAAGCAAGCAGCAGCATGCTCTGTGTGTGCGAGAGATGAAGCACCCGCATGGTCGGATAGTCACATGCACAGGAGAGGATTCAATTGGAGTGACTACAAGAGCGCAAGCGCGGACGCGACAGGCTCTGCGAGTCGGTCGGTCGAGGAACAATGTTTTTCTACGCCCGCCTCAAGCTTGGTATCAGTCGTCGCATGCCTCGTGCGCCGTAGTGGTTCGTGGGAGGGCATCAGGTACTCCGTGCCTCATGGCGTCGGGCGCTGGGATCGCATGGAAGCGTCGGAGGCAGGCCGCCCATGCGGTGTTGTATGTCGAGTGCCGCCGCTTTTAGGAGTGGACTCTCTCTCTCTGCTGGGGGGAGGGGAGGGGGCTTTGTTTTTGGCCCGGGGGTGAAGAGATGCGGAAGGCGTCAGATGGAATGCATGCACTTGGACGGGCAACAAATAGGGAGACGCGCACGACGCAGGCAAACGCCCAAGCCTATTCACCTTGCAGACGACGCCATAGTGGTGGAGACGGGTGGCTCGCTCTGCTCCTCTTTTGGTTGGAAGGCAGGCCTATGCACGGCTACATTAGCGCTAAAGCCGCGCCCAAGCCCATGTCCTAGCCCTTCCTCCTTCAAGGCCCCAGACGAAGCTAGAAGGTCGTTTTTGCTACCGAGATCATCCTGCTCTGCTCAGTGCTCTCCCGTCCTCTTCTACTATCGCGACGAGCTCTCCTGGCCCATTTCCCTCGCTGCTGCTGCTAATCCCGACCTGACCGTCACCGCCGGCCTTTGCATCAAACGCCCTGACAGCGCGCGTCGCATCGCCACAACACGACGGCCTCGCTCCCTTGATCGCCTCCCTCGCTCCCTCCCTGCCTACTTGCGTGTCTACCTATCTACCTGCCTACCTATACCCTATACCCTAATACACCACGCCCATCGCCCGCGACCTGCAGCTTCGTCCGGCATCTCTTCCTCACATTCACAATGGCATCAAAGGTAGGCGCCCGTCCATCGCCCGCGCCGCCTGCGCCCCTGCTAACCCGCGCCAGTTTCTCCGAGAATACAAGTTGGTGGTAGTCGGCGGCGGTGGAGTCGGAAAGTCGTGTTTGACTATCCAGCTGATCCAGAGCCACTTCGTAGACGAGTACGACCCGACCATCGAGGGTAAGCACTTCCGACCTGTCGTGTTTCGCGCGCCAGCAAGCTAACCCACGCCTCCAGATTCGTACCGCAAGCAGTGTGTCATTGACGATGAGGTCGCCCTGCTCGATGTGCTCGATACAGCGGGACAGGAGGAGTACTCGGCCATGCGCGAGCAGTACATGCGCACAGGAGAGGGCTTCCTGCTCGTCTACTCGATAACCGACAGGCAGAGCTTCGAGGAGATTATGACGTTCCAGCAACAAATCCTGAGAGTAAAGGACAAGGACTACTTCCCCATGATCGTCGTCGGCAACAAGTGCGATCTCGACGGCGAGAGGCAAGTGTCGACACAAGGTGCGTTTGCCTGCTGCTTCCATCCCTTGCCCTTTCCCTATGCTAACCCTTGCACAGAGGGCCAGACTCTGGCGCGGAACTTTGGCTGCAAATTCATCGAGACTTCGGCGAAATCCCGCATCAACGTTGACAACGCCTTCTACGACATCGTCCGAGAAATCCGCAGATACAACAAGGAAATGTCCTCGTACACAGGCGCCCCTGGCTCAAACGGCAACGGGCCCCAGAAGACGACATTCGACACGGACGACCAGGCGGAGAAGAAGGGATGCTGTGGATGCGTGGTAATGTAAGGATATGGAAGCCACTGTCGTTGTTGTCGTTGTTGTCGCGCACGCTGTCAGAGAGATACCTACACCGCTGGGTTCGGTTACCCGCCCTGGCCATTGGCGGTGCTGCTTGGTCCAGCAGAAGAAAACACGCGATGCTGCTGTTGCGTACTGCCAGTACACCTTCTCTTCGATACTGTCACTTTGGGTTCGCATTACGGGGTAACGGATTCACGTCTGCTGGATGCGCCTCCGAACACCCTACTTCTACTACTGGTATCGACTCCATCTTTCCTATCTGGTGGCGCTCTTCGTATTCGCCTTCATCATCTATCTAGACCGATTTCTTTATGGCATTTTGATCGGTACTCTGTATTTCCTCCTGTCGGCACGCCAAAGAGGCACCATGCAGCACGCTTCTGGGAGTCAAAAGATTTCTTTATTTTTGACAGCTTTTAGGGTCGTTTAACTTTACCTACCTTCTATGAACATAATTCATCTCTACTCGCAGCGCACCTTCATCTTCCATCACAACCGTCTCTCCTTCGCTACAGCACTACGGCAAAAGTCCAGCTGGCAGCTGCACTTTAGATTGCCAGCTCACAATGCATGCCAACTTCACTTCGCGTTGCACCCACAACCACCGGCGACCAGCGGCGTCGCAATGGCAGTGATCGCCCACTTGGAGCCATAATCGCGTGGTGTTTCGACTCGCGAACCTTGCCCGGGCGCCGTCATTGGATGTAGATTATCACAGATAGGGCGCTACCTCTGCACGGCCGTTTCAGGGAGCACATCCCGACAGAAAGAGGGGAAGTCGATCAGGAGAAAGGTAAGTGGACATCGGCACATGCACGCGGGCGTCTCACAGCGACGTGACATCGACTCTATTAGGCCCGACTTCCAGCGAGCTATTCTCCGGACGAACACCACAGGTGCCGTCGATCGGGATCCCTTGTGTGAAACGCTGGGTTGGGGCAGCTTGCCAGAATCCGATGCGCCGTTCCTGCCGTATCCGCAACACGTGCGCAATGCGTCAAACGGCGCACATCAACATCTCGCCAATTCTCACCTCTTCGGCCTGACGATCCGTTCGCCTCATTTCACCTCTTCGCGGCCATTTTACGAAATACTCACCGTCCCGTCCAACTGCAATCAAGTGGCGGCCCGACAGTTTGGATATTCACGAATTACTCACACCCCCTGCCGTTTAGCCTATTCAGTGCGACCCCGAACGGGCAGTACGCCCTGCCCGCGTCGGTTCGGATGGCAGCCTCGTTTGACCAGTTCACCGTACATCAGTTCGCCTGCACCTTCACTCGCTGCTCTACGCTACCAAGCATCCGACGCCTTTGCATGCGCGTTGTTGCGGGTGGAAAGCCACTTATGCGGTCGCTTCATCATCCCTGCAGTATTGCTAATCTCTGCAACAAACATGCAGTCCACGGCTGCCACTCTAGTTTTGAGCAAATCGTTCGCTGACCGTAAGCGATAGATGGCCACTACACCAGGCTACGGAGATGGTTTTCTGGACCCGTACGCCTCGTTCCCCATCCGTGCGCGGACATAGCGGATCACCATCAAAATCCCTACAAACGCTCACCTATGCATAGGTTCTCAGTGACTACCTCCTTTCACGGGCATCAATACTCTCAATTCGCATGGAGCTGGGCCAAGCGTGCAGATCTAATACTGGGCTTCTTCGTATTGGGGCGGTTACGAGCCCTTTTACACGTCATTCACCATCCTTGGTGAGTACAACAGTGAAGTCGATAAGTAAGAATTGGTGGCGAGAGAGCGCATGCAACCGCTTCCTACGAACATGGGTGAGAGGACAGCAGTCTCTTCTAATCTTAGAACTCGGCTTAGTCATGTTCTTGTCTCTTGGGTCGCCGAGAATACAAAGTATGCTCTTCTTCAAGTGTGCCTTCAGTACGCCTGTTCCATAGCCCAAGACACGAACTCCTCGATTTTTACCTGGCCTCACTGCAGCTAGGTTCTAGACTGAACCTCTCGGTTCACGCAAGACTATCATTCTCGGCCCGTGCCTGTACAGACGTAGCCGAAGGCACATCCCGCGGGCCACGTTCAGGCACAGTTTCGTAAGTCTGACGTTATACGCCCTCCACCAGGCCTCATAACGTGGACTCAATCCAACCTTCTTCTACTAGCTCTTTGCAGAGCTACAGTTGCGTTTCATGAATATGCCTCGGGTTTCACTAACAATACAACGGCATGGTGGGCAGTTGTAAACAGGTGGGAGCACGTTTACATTCATCACACAGATCGGCACTCCGCGGAGGGATCTGGACCCTGGCGTTAGCTGTGTGACAGGGGTAGTGCAGTAACGACATTGAACTCGTGTTACATTGACTTTCTACCGCGACAACCGAGCGAAAATTACTGGACAGGTGAATTGATTCAGTCTGTTCAGCAAGCACTTGCAATTGTCTGCGATGCGTCTACAAAACAAACGACGTCAACAGCTCTCTTCAGTGTTGCGTGACTCGACTTTCAACGCTACTACTACAAGCACTTGTACTCATCGGCGATTCCAAATCGGTCGACCACCCCAGTTGGCCGACCCGATTGGGAGAACGGCCTACAAAGCCGTTCTCTCACGATCTTTCGATCCGAAATCATGTATCGAGATCAAGATGCCTTGATCTATTGCTGCTTCAGGTAATTGTGGTAGGAGAGTGTGGATTGCAGGTAAAATCGCGGTGTTTGGCGCCAGCCAATAGGATGGGAGGCGTGAAGCGGTCGTGAGATGAAGACCTGAATTTACGATGCTGGTAGATGGTGGTGGAAGTACGTCGGCCGTTAGCTTTGCTGCTTGCGTTGGTGGGTTGGATTGTGGTCATGGTCTCGTGAAGGCTTCGAGGGCACTCCTTTTCTGTCGCAGTCGGACCGCTCAGGTTTGCTCCATGCTAACCATCTTTCATCGCCTACGGGTGAGTCTCTCAAGATGTCTTGAGACTCCTACTTGACTACGCTGCCCTTGGAGTGGACGCACTACTCCACTAACAACACACGAGCATGCCGTCCTTGCTCCACACTGACCCCCATCTTGCATACCCAGAAAAGCCATCGAATGTGCGTTATCCACCTTAGCAACCATAGTGTTTACATGTACAGTGTTTACTTTGAATTCCTCAAGTCAGACTTCTGCCGACCCAAGGTTCGTTGCCTTTCAGTATTTCATTCGATTCAAAAAAGATCTACACGCACGTTGAACGTCATTTTGCGGCACGGCCCGAGCATACTTCAAGGGGAAGATTATATAGCATCTCCAGTCGTTTCCCTTGCGAACCTGAAGATCGCAGCCGCATGCGACAGAGCTAAATGAGGAATCGAGATGTATACGAGTTCTGGTAAGCCCAAATTGGAGAAGGACCGAAAGGTGCATATCCGGGTAAGTGGCCGTGCGTGAGTGAATCGGACAAATAGAGAAGTAACTACATCCTCAATTTCGCAACCTGTTGTCGCGATGTCGAGGTTCCTTGTTCATGGACGGTTGTTTCATCTGCTCTATGGGATGAATTGGTCCGGAACAACCAAGACAAAGGCATAGGGTGATGGTACTAGAAACGTAAGGCTGGACGGACGATCAACCGATGCAACTGCAGCTGCGTAGCGGCAGATAACGTCACTCGAAACATATCGTAGTCGAATCACGGGGTGGAGTTATAGTGAAAAGATTTCCACAATGGAGTCAGCTGCGAAGACGACGATACTGAGCAGTATAAGCGCCTTGGCAATGGCTGTTACATTATCCGGGTAGCCACATAAGCACTTCAGCGCGATTGATTCCAAGTTTACACTTACTGTCCCGCTTGTCAGGATGTATCTACACATACGCTATCTGTAGATGAAACCAGTAGAAACTATTCATTTCTATAACAGCAGTATCGGACGGTAGCAGAGAGGTAGGAGTGAAACGGTGATCTACATTTGCTTAACAACTGGTTGGTTGGGAAGGAGTTTCGTCCGATATATGATAGATGAAGTTTATAGATTAGTTTTAGGTGTGGTTTCTTCTTCACGGGAGGCTACGTTTGACGTCCATGACTGTTCGCAAAATAACAAATAGAGACAAAACGAGAGGCAAGTACTCGCACTGTCTCACCATAAGCTGTAAGTTATGCTACTAGAGCAAGTGTAGGATATTATTGTCCGCATCGCGTTCATCACCCCTACAGTTGATCATCTAGACTGCAAAAAAGCTTCAACAACTCGATAACATAGGAAAAGGTTACTGTCTCTACCAATTTAATGCAGACGTTCACTCAAGTGAGAGACTTCCGAAACAAGGAAATACTGCTAGTCTAGCTGTGATCTTGACAATCATCTCTTCTTTGGAATTTCAGATTTAACAGTGGCGTGTAAGAATACTCTAATGAGACATGACATTGTTAGTCATATGTTCTTCTCAGAATCTTCGGCTCCAGATCAAGATGTGTATGCTATATGCACACCTTGTCGTTCCACTTGGCTACATAGGGAAGATACCAACAACCATAGTTGCGTGATTTGCCAAGTGCTGCGGTAAGGATGCAGAGATGTTCTGCACCCGATCCGCACCACCGTATGACTCGGCGTTTGATTGTTGTCCAGAACTCTTGGATATGGCAGGTGGAGACCAACATGAACAGGTGTCTAGATATGTACAGGCGAATAGATAGTAGTCATGTTAATGCAACGAGTGCGATGGTATCTCCTCTGTGGTCAAAGGGTGTTGTGTCTGTTCATCGTCTGCCACACTTGAAGCCCCAGTCGCACCTTCTGAGCTTGGGAATCCTACTACAACACAGACTAGAAAGGTTAGCTGATTCAACCAATAGATGATATCAAAGACCAGGATATTGCGAGAGTAATGTTGTGGTTAGGCTGTGATGCCGAGCCCACTGTCTTAGCGATTCTGGTATTCTGGTATCCGCTAGAGTGTGTCGTAAAACATAATCCGTAATCCCTGGCCCCCCAGAACAACGCCTTGTATCCCTGAGTGTGGGATGAGGATGAAACATATTATATCGAACGCCGGCGGTCGTCATTGAAGACCCCAAAGCTTATACATATGATGATAGTTCGTCTCTCGCCATCTTAGCAGTACCACTTTTAACGCCGTTGCTTTTCTCCAAATATGGGTACTTCGTTGTATATTCTTTGGATTTGAAGTAACGCCTCAATCATTTTCCAATCCATCTAGTTCTTTCTGCCTCCTCGCTAATTCTTGCCTCATAGCTTCTGCCTCCTTCCTCAGTCTCTCCCTCCTAGCTGCCTTCTCTTCTTGTGACATTCCTGGATTAGGCGATGTGCCAGCACTCGGGCGTAGCGGCACTGAAAGTGAAGGATCGATGTTTGCGTCAGCGTCAGCTTGAGATGGGTTCAATATCGAAGAAATCGCGTTTGGGCGGTGGGGCATCGGGTTTGCGGTTTCCTCTGGGTCCATGGTAGCACTGCGGCTGCGTTTCCGGGGCGATGGTGCATTGGATTGCATGTTGGGTATAAGGGCTGCGGGATTAGAGGTGACTGATGCCTTGCCGTAGTAATGAGTGAAGTCGACGGCGATAGGTCCTCTAGGTGGCTCGGGCGTATAGTCTTCCCTAGACTCAATTGCCGTTGACGGATCTGGGGAAACGGAATGCTCGAATGCGGGGGTTTGGGACGGACGCTGTGGTGGAGAGTAATCGGCAACCGACGGTGTGGCTTGAGAGCTAGTGTCACCAGCTGGCACGACTCGTTTCCGACGTTTGATCTCTTGCTTCTTCATTGCGACAGGACGATGTGTTCCATGGAGCTTGTAGTAAAGTCCTTTAGATTGGAGTTAGCTATCGTGGCTCAGTTGCAAAGCAGTCCTGTGGATGTAAACTCACCACAAGCGTTACATATTATGTGACCAGCATCATCCCGTCTCCACAGTGGTGTGATTGTAGTCGCACAATTTTGGCACGCGGGGATGGCACTAGTAGAACCTGCTGCCGCCGAACTGGACGCAGCGTCTGCGCCGTTCGTACCGTCACTCGATGTTGCATTTGCCTGAGCCAACGCAAACTTCGCAGTCTTCGACACGCGGTTGTTGAATGCTGGACAGCCACTGCAGCCTTGCTGACCACCAGTACCATTACATCGCCCCCCACCAGGACATGTACCTGCGGTCATCTGGTCTGCAGCAACATAAGTTGCTACTCGGGGCGAAGCCGCGAGGTTTCCGGGTGACGTTCCGTTGCCGTCACCTGGGCCCGACGTTGGACTTTGCTGCACGGGCATAATCGGCTGAGTCTGAGTGTTCCGTTTCAGGTTCACTGGACGTGATTGATTCCGCGCCTTCATGTACAGACCACACGCGTTGCACACAGTTTCTCCAGCTGGAGATCGGCGCCAAAGCGGCGTTTGTGTCGTCTTGCAGTTGCTTCGGTCCGTTAGCGTCTTCCCTGCAGATCTGGTTCCAACTGTAATCAAGTGACTGGTGGCAAGCACACAGTGAAATTTCAGACAACGTACCTACAGACTTGTCCGGTGACAGGCGCGTTGGATGCATCATAGTTCATACTCGGCAGCTGTAGAGATGTTGAAGTTGCCGGTGTCGTTGGTTGCTCTGAGATGGGCACCGCATCCTCGAGTGAGTGGTATATCTCGGATCTTTCGTCTCCCTGGCCCTGAATCTGGTGCTGTTCCTGAGATGGAGTTTCTGTCCTCGGCCTGTGGTGTTCATGGGCCTGATTGAGTAGTCGCAGGCTCTCAGCCATCTCTAGCTCGTCTCTGCTTGTTTCCCGTGATAACTGATGTGGATGTGTCGGAGTCGGAGCCAAAGACGTGCCTCCGCTTCCAGGAGGGTGTGCCATAGGGCAGCGCTTGATTGATCCAAGATGCGTGTCTCAAGAAGGTGGGTTCAAGGTTGTAGTGATACACTGTTGCCTAAATTTCGCAGATAGAATCCTCCAATCCGGGGATTTGCAAATTCTCGATCCAAATAGATGTCCGGACTTGGCTATCGGCTTGATCTGATACCCGATGAAAGTGTAGGTCAATCTGGAGCAGGCGCTAACGTGACTTGGTGTGATATGCGGGTCTTCGGGCCTTTGTACACAATGTTTGGGAGGTGTGGCACACGGATGGCTGGCAAACAACTTTAAGAAGGACGGGTCTAGCAAGGGAGGATATCAGGTGGGTTCGGGATCTCCGTCGTCATAATTCTGCGCAAGGTGCCTACTGGGTCTGGCGATGCTGGTGCGGTACAAGCTGGAATTCTTAGGCGGTGAATGGGAGGCGGTGGCCAATCAAGGCTTTGCTATTCTAAGCCGAGATTTAGCGCACCAACCCTGAAAGCACGTCCACGGCGACTATAGGCAACAGACGGGTTCAGAAGCAGTGAAGACGATTCGACTTTGGCTTTACACATGCGCGTGCTTGCATGCGGAGCCAACCATCAGTCAGGTACATGCATTCTAAGATGCAGGCCGGGCGCCCTTATCTCCGATACATATGCTCGGCGGCAAGAAAAAGGAAAACTCGGCTCTATCACTTTTGGACTCCACTTGAGCCTTGCAATAGACCAGCTGTCAGCGGATCAAGATCCGGCTCGCCTACGACTAGCGATTTGTAATGGTTGCTGCTCCGCACGCCACTGATGCATAGCTGGCACCAATCACAAGGGGTTGAGATGATACAACCAACATTGCGTCAACGTTACTATCGCAGCAACAGCAGCATCAGACTAGATCTGGACAATTGCTCAACGCAGTCCTTTCCGAAACGATACACTAGCAGCAATGCAAGTACCGGTAGTCTGTCCTCGCTTCATGCACTGCGGACACTAGACAGACAAGCGAACACGTGTGACGACTACAGCCTGGTTTGAATCAGATAACCTATCATACATCGATTCTTTCCAAGACGTTCTCCACCCGTGTAACCAGAACCTCGATGTGATCACCGGACCAACCAACGAAATCCAAAAAGACATACTCAAACCACCTTGTTAAAATCCGTAGACGTAACTGTGGGCAACTCCAATCCGTAACATGCGATACTTGGTTGAGTACATAGAAAGCGCACGACGGTCTTATGCCGAGGTCCAAAAACCAGGCAAGCGTTCTTGTATGAGGAATCCTCTACCGCCATCCTCTTGTCTACAGATTGCGAACTTAGACTTGTTCGGCACCCCAGCCAGCGTCGGCGTCGCTGCAACGTCGTTAGTACCACACGCAGAATGTTTTCAAGAAGTATGGAGAACTTACCGCATGTTCGCTGGGGGCTCAATAGAAGGAATGAACTCCAGAGCAGCGTAGCCCACACCAATTATGCCGACAATGGTGCCTGGCACAATGCGGAACCAGCGCTCACCCACGATGACCGAACCGATGAAGATGTAGAAGATGCCGCGGCCGAGGAAAGAGAACATGAAAGAGGCATAGCGTGCCACTTGCTGGGGAATCTGGAACTCGAGTAGAGCGGTTCCTGTTGTTTGTCAGCAACATGTGGTAATACAAGACCGCTGAACGCACCAAGACCGAATATTATCAGGTATACACCGAGAATGATGTGAGAGCTAGGCACTGTCAGCGCTTGCCTATGCAACGTAGTCTGATGTTTTGTATAGCGCTGCCAGCTCGAGCTTGCACAACCGCTGTTATGCAACGCTCCAAGCTCGCGTACTGTTTGTGCGCCCTCATAAGATGCGAGCGCGTGCCGAGACGTGTGTGGACTAAGCTCGCGACAGTCCTCAGGATTATGCAACCCGCCTATGTCCTCAAAGCCCACACGCGCTCATTACCGCTCGCCTGTCAAGGCATGGAGTGCCGTCTAATTGTTTTACGAACTCGAACGCCGACGCGACGGGATCGGGGTGACGCTGGATGCGCCAGGTAGACTCACAAGTCGTTGAACGGGAACAACTTCGCGATACCACCAAGGACCACGAATACCGCAACGGCGAAATTCACCATGCGACTACACAATCGTAAATTAGCTCCTACTCTCAACACCTCCGAGTGCTCAATGCCTCTGTCGGAAGCCGCTGCCTAATTGCGGACAGCTCCCCACAGCTCCAGCTGTACTCACAAGATGTCTGAGAAATCCATGGCGGACGATTGACCGGCGAGGTGTGGGAACCGCACTTTGACGACTTCGCGCAACGGGCTGGGGAGGGGACGGATGGGATGAGATGGAAAATGGAGCTTGTTAGGACAGGGCTCGGGAGTATGGTTGGGGTTGCGCAACGTCGGGCCTGCGACGAGACGTTGCAAGGTAACAACGGCCAAGCTCCCGCGCTAAACGTCATACCTGGTTTCATTGGTTGCTGCGCCATCAAAGGGGTTTCCTCATCCCATGCTCATCTTCATCTCCATCTTCAACACCGGCTTGACTTTCGTCACCTGGAGCAGCGCCGCTCTTCTCAGACTTGTATCGCTCTTGACCCTCGCTCAGTTGTTGCGATGCGGACTAGCCGAAGCACAGATGCGTTTCTACACGAAGCAGCACCAGCACCACAACAGAAGAGATTGACGGTTGCCTGAACCGACGCAGCCTTTTCGTATACTTTAGGTCATTGGCTACCACTATGCCAGCAGAAACCGAGGGGACCACCGTATCCATACTGATAAGCCGAGCAGTTTGCTGCTGTACTTCTACCACATCGCTATGCTTCCATGATATATACACTACCAACGGCTTATCCTTTCACATACGACCATAGGACACTGAAAATTAGGCTTCCCGTCCGCTCAGCCATATACAAGCAGTGTACCGGCGGATTAGTAGTTAGGTGGGTGACCACTAGCGAATCCCCGCTGTTGTATGTTTTTGTTTTTGTTCATCTGCTCCACCCTCCTTACCTTTTTGCAGTCCTTCGTACCATGTGCTCTTTTTTGTCGTATGTACCGTATGAGCTTCGTCACGATGGTTATCGTGTGCGATGCTTTGTTCTCATCGTGTTGACATCACTAGGGCTTGTTCGTCCAACGTGTTTTGTTAGGGAAGAACGAGAGCGAGAACCGTGAGAACGTGCCTTACAAGCTAAGACATTCCCAACAACCAGGACGCATGAGTGCCCCGAACCTGGCGTGTCTAGTGGTATGGCGATCATCAGGTTCCTGTCGCCCATGTCTCTTGCATCCACATGTCAGTTAACAATTATGATGACGGTAGCCAGGCTTAGTCCCCGTCGCAATACCATCAGGTTGATGAATAGTAATCGGGCCCTAGCTGACAGTGCCCTACCGTTGTCGAAAGGAAGCTAGACACGAGCCGACCAATGACGAGCCGTCGTTTCCAGCTCCAGATCTGTTAGACATTCGATTGCTACAGTGCGTCATGACACTAGCTCGGTCGATCGCAAGATACAGTTTGACACTGTACCTGGTGGATTATTGGAATGCTTGTGGTATACATGTTTCTGCTGGAGCAACAAGGAACCCATAGTGGGCTATGAGCGGGTATCTGCAAGAAACCAATCGTAGCTACTTGATGGCTGCCAGAGACAACAGCACTGCTCAACCCAAATACAGTGAACTTACGGCCGGGTGGGAGGAAGAGAGCAGGAAATCCCCAAGCAGACAAAGACCCAGTCCAGAGCTCTCACCTTGACCCTGAACTTAGAGCTTCGGAGCATACGGAGTACACGGAGCCAACGAGAGCATAATCATCATAGACGTCCTCTGCTGTAGAGTCGTGGTGGAAATATAATGCGTTGGTATCGCAGCTAATTGGTTCTCGGTCACGCTAGGCTAGTAGCAGGAACTACCTAGGTACCGTGGGGAGCTCGAACCGCCGGCCACCAAAGGGACGCGCCACATGGCATGGCAAGGTAACACCCTGATCTACACCGCATGTACAGGAGACTTGTATGCAAGGATAAGGGCGGGAACTATGAACGACCAGAGAGAGCGAGACGGTCTCTGTGAACGTTTCCAAATGCGTCGGGTACCACCTCCACCTCACCATAGGCTGTTTATTAATCCTTCTAGACTCGTCGTTAGTGTTCCTCCGATGATCCGCGATCAGTGAACTGGATTGTTGAAGCTCATCAAGCTACCTCTAGAGCAAAGGCTAGCGTGGGCGTTCCCAAGAATGTAGACATATCCTCCTCAGGCACGGATGTCAGCCCTTTCAGCACAGCAATCTTTTTGGCATACCCAGTATGTTATGCGAGTACTCGTAAATGTGAATGAGGTCCAAGGTCGATCTAGATGAGCCACTGCTGTCGATACGCCACAAGAAGGAGATGTTGAAGTGAAAGCTTAACATAACTAGGGGATCTTCAACAGTGCTTAGGGGTGCAGCTATTCTGGTCGGGAGATCTAAGGATAACGTGCAGATTAAGTTCTGCCCCATTCTAATACGCATCCTTGCAGCAAGCCACGATGCGGGTCCGGCCAACTCTACTAGGACTTCCGAGAGTATAAGACAGGCACGTATACCCAAGCCTGAAAAGTAGTAGTACTACTGGCCCCTCGTCCTCGCCCACACATCTCGCTGCACGACTCTAACTAGGATAAAGCGTGTCTTCAGACGTGACGAGACATGAGGGGACCGCTGTATCTACTACTCCTTCTTGCCACTTGGACCTCTACTGGACAGGCACAAGATGCCGACTCGCTCACGGTGATTGCCAAGCTTCCCAACTGCGCGGTATATTGGATCCGGTCTCGAGAAGATGGTATATGGCTGACGCTCATAGCAACTATGTTTGGTGACTGCTGTTGTCGACTCACCTTGCCAACTTACGAACTCAACATGTATATGTACCAACGTTAAACTTCAGGCTGCCGTTGAGAAATGCGTCGTCTCTTCGTGCACCGTGAAGGAGAGCTTGAGTAAGTCAGGAACTATTATCATCTACTGATCTACAGCTCACAACATTTGTTAGCGACCAAAAACGTTACTTCAACCTTCTGCCACGCGCCGGTCCGGTCGGAAACTATCCATCTGCGAGTCGCGAATATACTCATGTGCGTGGTAACAGTTTCCTGCGCCATCTTACGTCTCGTCTACCAAAGATACTTCACGGTTGCCGGGCTTGGCTGGGATGACTTTACCGTGGCCGCTACAGTACTCATATCTATACCCTCCGTAATAATAATCGACAGGGGCATGCTTACGAACGGGATCGGTGTCGATCTCTGGACTGTTCCTTTCGACCACCTCGAGAACTTCGTTCGATGGCTGTATACCATTACCCTACTATATTTTATCCAGTGTGCCATGGTCAAGATCTCGCTGATTCTATTTTTCTTGCGGATATTTCCAAGAAGGCGGACAGTGCAGCTCTTGTGGGGGACTATCGCCTTTATCGTAATATGGACCATATCTTTCTTCATTCCTGGCTCCTTCCCATGTCTGCCTGTAAGTAAACCTCATTCAAGTAGTGCGTCAGGCGCACGCTAACTCAGTGCTTCAAAATATAGCTTGCCGATTACTGGACAGCTTGGGATAAGGCCAAGCCGGCTAAGTGTCTCAACATATACGCGGTGATCTGGGTACACGCTATCATATGTATCGTGGTCGACATCTGGATGCTTTCCATCCCTCTATACGAGGTCTTTCACCTCCAGATGACATTGACAAAGAAGTTCAGCGTAGCTCTGATGTTCTTCGTTGGCACCTTGTCAGTACTCTTGCAACCTACACAACCCGGCTTTCAGCTAACATGTCCACAGTGTTACGATTGTATCCATCCTCCGCCTCAGATCGCTCATTGCTTTCGGCGGCACGAGCAATGTTACATGGGAGCAGACGAACGTGGTCTTATGGTCGGTCTACGAGATTAATGTCGGAATTATATGCGCATGCATGCCGGCTCTACGCTTAATCCTCATCCGCGCGTTTCCCACAGCCATCAGTACGATACAAGCGAGCACCCAGCGAAGCAGCAAGAACCATCACGGAAGTGGAAGTCGTGGCACAAAAGGAAATGTCGACACGATAGGGAGTGCCAAAAGTGGAAAAGAGAGCATGATCGTTGACCGAAGCACGATTACGTACACTAGGACATTTGCGGTGCGGCATGAGAACGACGACGAAGCTGAACTTGTACATATGGAGGAGTTCAGTGAAAAGACAATAAGAGCGCGAGAGGACAGCTACACTAGTGAGTTGAGCTTGTAGTAATGCAATAGATAGACTCAGCAGTTCGGTTTCGATGTATATCTTTAACTCTACGATCGACCTGCCTGTTTTCATGCTATCTCACTATCATTTATTGACATCCAACGCATAACGATTGATAGCTAATGAAAGTGTCCCACAAGGTCGTTTTCTTCGACGAACGAAAAGGTCATGTAAATCAGAGATAGAATAGAGACGACAAGGACCGTCACATTGACATCTAAATATACCCTGAAAGCATCCGTGGTTCCCACTCTCTCTGCATATCAGTCACATCCAATCTAAAGCCATCCCAATATCCCAATTTTCTTGTCCCAATGCCTGCCTGTAGAGGTGTTCCACGAATCGTTTCGACGCCATGAAGCCATTCTTCTCCGCAAACCGTTTAGCCCGTTCATGCTGACTTTCAGGAGGCTCTCCAACTTCCAGATCGAGGTTGGCATTGTACTGCATCAAAAGCGACATCGTATCAACATGACCCCACTCCGCTGCTGCTTCAAAGGCAGTTCGTCCATCCCCCTTGGCAGGTGGGTGATTTGGGTCGGCTCCACGCTCAAGCAGAAATGCAGCAATACCGCAGAATCCTTTCAGCGCAGCTAATTGCAAAGCAGTACCACCAGAGTGGATAGGAATTGTATCGATAATTGCACTCTGCTCGATGAGGCATTGAACAATATCGAAGCAACCCATTTCGGCGGCTCTTTGCAATGGCGTACGAAAGACTCCCATATTGCGTTTGTAATCCACCTCCGCTCCATGTTCTAACAAAAGCTTCACTAATGGAAGACTCTGCATGTCGATAGCAGCTAGTAAGGGTGTCACTCTTTGTATGTGACTCTCAATTCGTTTTAGCATCTTCTGACCATCGAAAGATACGTATGCGTTTGGATTGGCACCTCGCTTCAATAAAAACTGCACTATCTCGACGTCGTCCAGTATAATTGCTTCACCTAATGGGCTGAGAGGAGCTTCGTGCTCAGAGAATTCCTTGGTTGACGGCTCGATTGCATCGATGTTCACTGCTTCACACAAAACATCGATGATGGTGAAGTCTCGGGACCGGATGGCTTGCCGGAGTGCAGCAATGCCATAGTTTCGTTGGCCTGAATATCTTCCAGGCTCTGCTTCTCTCAAGAGAAAGCGAATTGTGGCAACAGTTGCCTGACGATTTGTGTAGGAAGTCAGTATATGTCGCACCTGTAGTTTGTGCAGGAAAATTACTTGCCTTCGTCTTCACTGCCCATACTAACGCTCCGGAATCGGCAGATCGGATACCCTGAGCCAAAAGATGTCTCATCCAATCCTCATGGTTGTGTTGGGCTGCGACAGCTAGAAGCGATGGAATTGTGCACCAGCTGTAGCGTACCAGGTCACCACCCCCACCAGCCAAGCCGCAATACGTGACCGGAGCTTTCACAACCGCCATGTCATTGTTCTGCATTTCGCATAAATGGAGCTCGTCAGCATCCATACCAATCTGCAACAACCATTCGCAAAGCTTGAAATTGCCTGTTGCAATGGCGTGAAAAGCGATAACCCGGAAGTATACTTGTTGCTCTTGTATCAAAAAATCGTTATTATCTCCAAAATGATCGAAGAACGGTAGCTCTGACCCTTGGAATAACATGGCTTCTAATGTACCAAAACCCCCGTTGTAGCATGCAGCATCTAGAGCAGATTTCCATACAGGATTTCCTATAAGAAGCGCACTGACTGCTGTAATTTGACCATGGTCCAATAGGACATAAAGCTCACCAGAGCTCCATGAACAAACATCTTTCATAGACCTGATGATACTGACAATCATATCAAATTCGCCGAGGCTGATCGCGAGTTTAACGAAGTTCTTCATATATACCGATGAAAGCTTGTGGTCTTGTAGTAGCTGGTATGCGAGCACTAGGTTCTTCTCCTTGACAGCGCCAGCGAACTGTTCATGATATGTAGGGACATGGGGAGGCTTCTCGAAACTTCTTGCAACAGGCTGTTGTGCTCCCGAACGATATGCCGTTGAGGCCGTTGCCTTCAAGCCTTGTTCCAAGTTTCCTCCTACTGCTGTCGAGTACTGCGCCAACATTAAGGATGTTGCCAGATCCCAGTCTGCGTTATCAAATGCCTGTATGATCAAATCGTTCGTGGCTGTGTTGCCCATGCAAGTCTCTTCGCTATTGAGGCGGTAACCTAGTAGACTGAACGCTCTCAAGATCATTTTGGCAGCTTCTTCTTTTTTGTTGACAATAGCAGTCTTCAATCCTTCGAGAACTACTGTCCTAAATTTTGGATCTCCTCGAGGTAGTTGGCGCTGGCAGTCTGAAAAGACGTATTGTAGGACATTTTCGATCGGGGATGTCTTCGTCCAATCATAACTGGAACCAAGATAAAACTTCAGCAGGCCTATCTCTAGCCAAGCCATGATACCTCCGGTCGTATTCTCTACCAGCTTCTTGAGAGAAGCTACCAAGATAACGTCATATACAGCTCTGAGACAATCCCACTTGGGCCTGGCTCCTGCAGCGAGGGCGATACACATGAGCTCGATCGGTTTTGACTCGCCAAAACGTCCGATGGGCCATCTTGTGAAATACATTCTCGATTCAGGCATTGTAGATTCCATCCCATACAAGATGTAATCAATTAGTCCGTCAAGCTGCGATTGAGTTGCGCCTTGACACATGTGTGAGATAAGTGTTTTTGCAACGGCGAAGTGATCTGCATCCCGTGCATAATCAAGTGGGTAGGTTGGTTTTGACCCGGTTGACCGATCTATCATGATTCGTTCGCGAGGATCAGCATTCAACTTCAGCATAGCCGAAACAAGATTCACGTCCCCAACCTTGACAGCAGTAGCAAACACCTGTTCTTTGAGAGCATCCAAGACCGGAACCGGGAGGACCTTCAGGCTTTGTAATACGACGTTCAGTGGAAGCGCCTTCAACAATGAATATGCGTCATTGGAAACATTATGGTCCACCGAGGATAGGTTGTTGGCTAGTGACGCGATTGCGCACAACGGAACTGATGTCTCGTGGCTTTCGTGCCGCGTATCTAGAAACGACCGATCCTTCGAGTAAAATAGTGCATCGAGCTGGGCCTTTGGAGGCTTCCTCCATTTCGTTAACTGCTCGGCAGCAGAGAGGTTCTGCGAGAACGAATCCAGGTCGACACTCCGCATCCAAGAAAACGGGGCGCTCCACGAAGCAGCAAGGGTGGACGCGTTCGAACTGTAGCGATTAATCGAGATTGAGGGTATGGTAACCAGTTCAAGGCTAGCTTCGGTCTGAATGGAAGAGAGTGACGGGATTATAGCAGGAACTATTGTGGTCTGAAGACCGTTCGCGGCGTCAATATCCGGAGGGCGTGATCGTGGTCGTACGGTGATCTCTTTTGGAAGTTTGTAGGAGCCTAGACATCATAAGCGATATACAAAAAGATCAAAGTATGCACAAACCGCTTTGCCATGTGGTGTTTAGCGAGCTGCGTCGCGCTATCTCTTGTAGAATCCTCTTGTGGGGGATTTCGTGTCCCTTGAACAGCACTTCCACTTGTTCAAGGCGAATCGAGTTTCTCTTCATGTACCTTATGATGACTGTCCACTCAGGCCCAGTAAGGTTCTTTCGTAGTTGCCACTTCCTGAACTGCCTCTCATATTGTGATTTGCTTCGTTCAGTATTAGTGTTCATGGGTCTATATCGAGACGGCGCAAATACCTTGCAACAAAAGCGTAATGCTCTCTCATATGCGCGTCAATCGCACTGAGCGATTTCCCCCAATACAAGCTCTCGATCCTTGCACGATGGTGTTCCCATGTTTTCTCATCGATGTTGTCGGTCTTGGCAGTGTTACTCATTCTGTACGACGAGGCATAAAATCAAAGTAAAAAGAGTGGGAAGTGAGAAGTACGCGGAGGATTAGGCTGAGCATTTTGGAGCATACCCAGGTATTTTAACGATCAGTCTTGGGTCTGAAACGCCGCCTGACGCGTACTGCACATGCAAGCAGCGTTCCTCGTGTGCACCAATGACACGGCTTTGGTCTTCTTGCATTTGCCAGCCGTTGGATAGCCGGCCAATCATGCAAAATCTGACTGCAGCGAGATTTTGTAAATGGCGCAACAAGCCATTGGTAGATTGACCAATCATGCAAAACCTGTGGTAGCCTTAGAGTACGGAATACATTGCGCAACAAAATCTTGTAGTCTCTGACGTGACGGGTGCGGTTCGAATTGGTTAGCGCAAGATTTTGCAAAAGTGACCCCGTTCTCATACCAGACTGGAAGAGGGCGGAGTCAACATGCCCCAATCATGCAAAACCTGTCAAACTGATTGTCGCAGGTCCTACAGAGGCTCCCAAGGCAGATTCTGCTTTTGAAAATGTGATAAAATCCTAGCAGAGGTCGCGCTCCTAGTTCAATGTCACAGCCAGAAGCCCTCTTGTACACTACGCACTGATCATACCAACCTCGCTATGTCTTCCTGGTCGATAGAAGCAATTATAGCTTTTGTGACCCTCCTAGCCACCTGTATTCCCATCTTGGTATTGTTGTTGCGCAACTTCATGCCGCACCGTCGAGTTGTCCAGTCTGAAGCCGGTATGTCCTTCAGTCCTCTCAGATTCAGGCCACTGACAAACGCCAGATGTCGAACTTGGTAACAAGGGAAATGTTCATGGCCACATCGCCGCCCCGGTCAAGTTTGGGATAAGCAAAAATCGCCCACGGTAGGTGTTGGGATGATACCGTACTATCTCGGTTTTGATGTCTGACGAGCGTTTGGGTTAGTTCAAAGACTCTTTGATTAAATATGTCATTAGAGCTGTCGAGCATTCATTAGTTGCTGTAAAGTAAAGCGGTGCGTGGACTGTATGACGGTCATGAATGCGGCCAATGTACGAGGGAAAGGAATCCTTGGTGCTAGGGTGTTCGGTAGAGTGATAGCATCCAAATGTTTCGTCGCGTCGAGTGGCAGTGTGCTAGCCTCGCAATATAGTCAGGCATGTCATTCGATTTCCTCCAATCCTTGTTACAAACTCCAGACGCCCAAGCTTGTTGACAGAATTAACTTCAAAGCGTTCTCATGCGCCTTCTGTTCTTTAAAGGAAATAGTCCGCCACTGGCTTCTTTGCTGGCATGCCTCGTGAGTCCTGTGGAGCGGCTTCGAATACCCGGTATCGCCGTCCCGGCCCGTCTCTATTCTTCTGAAAATTGTCGTTGAGTACAGAACTCAATCTCCTCTCGCCGTTGGGTCCAGCATTCGAGCCTAACACCCAGCCTCCACCACCACCCGCTCTATCTCCGTTCGACCTCCGTTGGAAACCGGCGTTTGATCCGTCTTCGCCGAGCTCCAAAATGGCAGCTACGTTACCGCAACGGTAACAGTAGTTTGGCGCTGACCACACAGTAACAATTGTTGAGTCGAACATCTCCTTAAATCCTTCCATAACCAATTGATGAGCTCTAGCAATGAGACTGAGGTCGTTTTTGTGGTTGAAAGTCTTGACGATGTCGGCCCCGAATAGAAATCCTGCACCACGCGGCGACAAGCCCCATCCGTCAATCTCGTCGGGATCAGACCATAGGAGGTCGCACATAGCTCCTTCGTGGGGCACCTCCTGCTTCCTGTCCAACAGACGGATCTTGTCCACTGAGTCAACGAGAGGTGATAGACCTCCGTGTACGCATAGAATGGCTCCTGTATCGTTCCGAGCCGAGCCGTTGGCGGAGGAAGTTGCGCCAGTTCCTGCAGGGCCAACACGTCCAGGTGTTGGAGCGACAGGGGATGAAGAGCCCATGTTTGCGCTTACTTGTGATGCGGCGCTTGATTGGGAGTCTGAGTTGCGTGCGTAGCGGTACATAACCTCGCCGTTAGCGTTGAGCGTTTCGATCTCAATGTCTTGATCGATGTCTGGCATGTTTTCAGCGTTGCTAGACTCGGCTATGGGACCATCGGTGGCTTGGAGAGAAGTCGCAGCGCCTTGGACGAGAGCGCCGAGGGCTAGGTAATCGAAGACTTCGCAGCAATACCTGTTCTTGTTAGTGTTGCGCTCTACTAAACCAGCTGGGTAATGGTCATTACCTCCATACGTTCGCGCTGCCGTACTTCCTCAAACACTCATCGTAGAACCCGTATACAGTTGTAATCTGCCGAGACTCGTGGTTGCCTCTGATGAGCGTTATCCGGTCTGGGTATCGGACTTTGAGGCATAGAAGTAGGAGGAAAGATTCGAGCGAGTAGAAACCACGGTCAACGAAGTCGCCTACACAGAGTCAGCACAAAATAATGTGGCGGGATCCTGTCGGCTTACCCATGAAAAGGTAATTTGTATCTGGTACATCTCCACCAACTCGGAAGAGCTCCATGAGGTCGTGGAATTGACCATGGATATCACCGCAGATCTAAGAAAGGACGTATAATCAGCTATGTTCACGAATATAACAATACCGTGCCTACCGTCACTGGCGCATCCACTCCAACCACGTTGCCCTCCTCGATCAACAGCTCGCGTGCCTTGTAACATAGCTCTCGGACTTGATTCTCGGGAATCGGACGACATGCGCGGAGCTGCTGGATCGCCCTGCGATCATTGTCAGCCCTGTGTATCGCATGTATAATAGTAGGCTGAGTGGGTAGCCGTACTTGTCAAGGTCGCTACCACCGGCACTCATGGCGATGGCTATGCGCTACACGCCCGCGCGGGGCTTTTCGGGATGGATAAAGGTTTGTTTTTCTATCACGTGCGCAACAGTTTCGCAGTAGCAGAAGCTGTTCGTAATTGAAGATTCTGGTGGGCGCGAATAGTATAGACGGTGGCGGTACGCGTATGGCGCGTTATGGATGCAATGACGGCGCGAATCGTACGATTACGTGATGGTTGTGTATGACTGTCAAGTGAAGATAGCGATTGTAATATGACGGTAGCCGTTTGGTGGGTTATCAAGTCAAAGTGGTGGGCTGGTGAAGTCGAGGACGAGAGAGATCCACAGCGGGCATGCCGAACGCGCAGGGATCTTCGTTAAGCCGTTCAGCTAGCTCGACCCTCTATGTTCACTCCACCAGAACACCATCACCGCCGACAACCCCGCTTCCCCACCATCCACACCTGCTTGAGGCATCTCAATTGGCACAGTATGCTCTTGGCGATCATTGGAATTACATCTACCAGCTATTGACGACTCCTCAGGTCCAGTGATGCCTCCGCAATCCGCTCTCTAATTTTTACACTCACACACATAAAATGCCTCCGCACCTCCACCCGCGGTCGCGCATGACGACTTCGCTCTTTGGAACGACCCTCATGGTTTCATTCCTCGTCGTCGCCGCTCCACATCTGATACCCTGCCCAGTCGACCCTCGAACGCTCGCCGATTCCCCAGACCCCACAGGAGAGAACAGGCGGAGAAGGAGACGGAGAATATCAGAAGACGAGAGCTGTAATGAAGGCATGAGTTTGGAGCGGAGGAGGCAGCGCCTATTGGAAGAGAAGTTGGCTGCCAAGAGGGAGTGCCCAGTGCCGAAGCCTGGTGGTCTGATCGGGCAGGTACTGGGTGTGCAAGACGAGGAGAGCAAGGAGGAGCAACAATTGTCGATCGTACAAAGGGTCGAGAGGGTCGTCTGCAGACCGTGGGGAAAGAACGACAATCAATAACAGGAGACGTGCGGAACAATTCAACGAAATAGACATGCCGCTGCTGGACATATTCACAGACATGGGGTACAAAACTCACGCCAGTGCGACCACTGCATCTAAGGATCTGCACATATATAGTGGCACTAGAAAGAGAACCGCGATAGACTGTATATAAGAAAGGACCAAGTCCTGATCGAACATCTCAACACCGCTTCTATCCGTGTACAGATCAGTCGCAGCGACTTTTCAGACCCCATGAGAACATACACTAGTTTACGCCAATTCTTCTGGAGGGTATGGCGCTATACTACGCGCCTCGACCCTGAAGCCCAGCACTGTTCGGAGATTTGCCTAGTACGTAACAAAAGAACGTGACCGCGTGTCGCGTAGCGTGAACGCACTACGTCATGAACCTCACCAGCCACCGCGTTTTGTCGTCAACACTTCCGGACTCTGAACTCGACACCCGCTTAGTAGATGTCATTCCATGATTAAGTGCGTGATCAAAATGCCCTCTGAGCCCCTCACAAAATCTCAGCGGATGGCCTACCGCATCGGACGCGGCGAAACCGGTGTCCTGACATTCGAGCCCTACAAGTCCGAGATCCTTCCTTTATGGCGTTTCAAAACACCTGCTATCGCTCGCAAGTCTTCTTCCGACATCTACAGCAAATTTCTAGAATATGACAAGAACGACGACTTCATTGGCATGGACATGTCTCGCAAATTCTTGCAGATGGGCATGACTAGGGCAAAGAGATATGCAAACCATGCCGGGGGAAGAAAGTATGATAAAAAGACTGGGGAGCTATTGGAGAAGAGCAAGGGTCATGAGGGGCAGGAGGAGAAATTGGAGGCCAGTGGTATCTTCAGAGAGGTTTGGGAGAAGGCTAAGCTGCATAATGGGTATGTGGAGAAGAAGGAGAGGTTCATGAAGGAGCAGAAAGAGTGGGACAAGGAGAAAAAGAAGGAAGCGAAGACGGAAGCCAAGGTGGAGATCAAGACAGAGGTCAAGGAGGAGGCCGAGGAGGAGTGAGACTTACTAGGACAGTTGAGACCTATAAAGTCTTCTACGCATCTGACCCGCCGAGGGAGGGAAAGGGAGTTCGAACATTTTAAGCTTCGGACTTGGGTCCCTCGCCTCTTTCCACATCTGCTGCAGGCTTGCACCAATTGTGAATAGAGAGGGCTGGTACGAAGCTGTGTCGCGTTTAACGCACGGTTGAGCGCTTGCTCCCAACACGATCTAAGGATGAAGCACAAGCGTCGTATCACTGGACCAAACGCTCTCCAGTATCCTGTTGGATGGAGCAACAAGCATCCGAATACAGATGAAAGAGAGAACAAAAGACCATGTAAGCGATGTTACAAAAAGCTCGATACTGGTCAAACTAGACAATGCTCGATATCCACAAAAGAAAGAGACGATGACGAGATCGACAGGATACAATGCGGGTAACTTTGTGCATGGTAGATCGTAGTAGCTCTAAGACGAGAATGAAATCATCAAGAGACGTCATATGACTACATACCTGCATGTTGAGGAGTACTTTTTCTATAACATCAACAGGGATAGCAATGTAGCTGCCGGTCTGCTGGGAGGCAAATCGCTTCATCGTCTTTGTTCGCTCTTCCTTGCGCTCTTCCCTCAGTCGGCTTTCCTACGTTTCACCTGTGGGATTTCAAAGTTCGGATTCGCGCTCATCTCTCCCTCCTCTTTCGCGTAAGTCTTCTCCACGTCCCACTTGATCAGTCCGCCCTTCTCGGACAACTTGATCGCCTGTCCCCTGTCTTCCATACTCATCGTGCAGACATCTTTATGCACAGCCCAGTCCCCTTTCTGGCAGACATCCGAGCAATAAGTCGACGTACCGCACCTTCCACATCTCTGTAGCGAAACACCTGTCTTCTTGCAAGCCGTACAGCTCGAGAGGTCAAGAGACGAATAAAGCCAATGCGGGCTCATCGGTATTCCGTCACCCCAAACATCCATGGGCGCATACTCGACAAAGAACCTATGTTTCATCTTCTTCCCCGTCTCCCATCTCTTTTCCCTTATTATCTTTTCCGCGAACTCACAGCCTAGCTTCTCAATCTCGTCAGGATCCGTAACGTCTTTTTCACCTAGCATGCTCTCTTTGGGATTTGGTATCCACTTCCCTCTGTTTTCGCCCTCTAAAACAATGTTGTAGGTAAGCATTAATGTCCAGTTATCGCCGCTGCTATCCAGACTGCCGAAAGTGATTTGGTTGCCTATGCGACCAATTTCAATTTTTGAGCCGTCTGGCGTACCTTCTGCAATGCTCAGCGTCCATGTTAGGGAAAACCAGGCATCCAGATCTAAGAAAGCTGCCAAAGCGTTTGGGTGCCATCTGTAGAGAACTGTCGCTAGACCGATTGCTGGAGTTATGATTTCGGAAGCTTCTGGTGTGAGAGGGGAAGGGTCGATAACACTGAGAAGGGACCCATTGAGGCGTAGTGCGGCATCGGGGTAGTCGGGTAGCCTGAAATCGGATAGCGAAGTGATTTGAGAATCCATGGTTTGGGATGTGTGATGTGCTGCACCGAGCGAGCGAATTGGAAAGTGCAAAGGGTATGTAAGTGGGGCTACTGCTTAGATTCTCATTGGTCGGACTAGCATATCAAGAGCAGGCTTCGGTCAAATATAAGTTGTGTCAGAAAGACACAGTATAGAGAAACGGGGTGAAGATAAAATTTTGATATTCTATTGATATGAGTTTTGAGATTTTACTTTTATTCGTTCATGTAGCTTTGCACTCGGCTATACATGTTTGATTTGAACATTCCATGCTCTTAGTTGCCTCCATGTCCTTGTAGCGAATGCGGCTTAGGCCCTTGCTGTACTGGTACGCTGTCCATGGGTCCAGCATACCTCAGGAGGCCAACGTCTGAGCTAGTCATGGTGTTCTTGTACTTCTGGCCGCCGCCAAATTCGAACAAGAAGCTCATGGGGAAGCCAACATCGAAGGGAACAGCAGAGTCGATATCATCAATCTCCTCCTCACTTAGCTCGATTTCAAGCGCCTCGATATTGCCCTTGAGATGATCGATCTTGCGGCCGCCAACAATCGGGTACACGAAGGGGTACTTGTGTCGTACGTATGCCAGCGCAATGCTAGTGATCTGGGTCTTCTTCTGGTTGGCAACACCCTCTAGCTTCTTAGAGATTGCGACATGCTTCTCAGATGGGGGACCAAAGTTGCGGCCTTGCTCGTTGTTCTTGCGCTTCTCTTCGGATGTAAAGTTACCACCACCAAGAGCACCCCATGGGCAGAGCGCCATGCCTTCTTCGCGTGCCATTGGAATGATCTCGCGTTCGAAATCACGTTCAGCTGCGGACCAACGTCCTTGGTAGACGCTGAAGCCGCGCAGGCCGTGGTTACGGGCGTCTAGTACCGTCAGTTCAGACCCTGTATACTTTCACGAGGTGGCACTTACATTCGTTCGCCTTGCTGACGACCCAAGCAGGTGTGTCACTGATTCCAAGGTATAGAACCTTTCCGGAGTTGACGACGGCGTTGAGGGATTGCATCAATTCTGGGATAGACGTTGTAAAGTCCCACCAGTGCACGTACAGCAGGTCGATGTAATCAGTCTGAAGCTTCTTGAGGGATGCCTCGAGCGAAACGCGGAGGGACTTTGTGCTGTTACCAGCATAGTTGATACGTTGGCGAGGAGAGTTGTTTGGATCGGGGAAGCAAGTGGTGAACTTGGTGGCTACGACCATCTCGTGTCGTACGCCTCGCTCCTTCATCCACTCACCGATCCACGTCTCGGACTCCTCGTTCTGGTAGTTGTTTGCGCTGTTTTAGTGTCAGCTTCAGTAGTGGAGCGTTGTTGTTTTCATGTGAAACACTGCAGTAGCATTGGCGCGGGGAAAGTACAAGGACTTACGTGTCGATGAAGTTACCACCTTGTTGGTGGAAGAAATCTAGGATCTCGAACACGGTCTTCTTGTCACACTTGCCCATCATCTCTTCCCACGCATCACCAAAGTTCATGGCTCCCAAGCAAAGAGGAGAAACGCGAACTCCGGCAGTAGGCGACATGACGCGGTGGAAGTCCAGGAGGGACGCCGCCTTGGGCGCATCACCGAATGGAGAAGGCATATTGAATCTGGGTTCTGTAGAATTCTGGAAGAAGATGTAAAATTGAGAGGCTAGATGTTAAAGTGCTCTTTGTGAGGCGATTAGTGTAGGACGGAACCTCTTCTTATATCAATGGAGCTCTACATGGGCATGACGTATTAGGCTAGAGTACCTCAGGGTCCATGGTCGCTGGTCGCTTCCTACCTCTATTACGTCCAGGTTGGAAACTTCCGAAGGTTTTCGGGGCCGATCGCTGTCGGATGGCGTTAAGCGGAGGGGTAACATCTTGCACGTTTGATGTGGAGAGCTTTGATCATGGTAGATGTTATCTCCGCTAAGCTCCGAGTATGTGTCGTCGAACTTGCTGTGTCGGACGAGTGCAAATTGTGCAATTTTGGTCATGTCTAGAAGTTCCGGAAAGCACCCGATAGGTGGAGTGAGCTTCGGCTGGACGTGACGATGATTGGTAGCGGACAAATATCTGGGGAGTTGATACCTAGGTGGTGTTGGCAGGTCAGCCATGTGCATGACGCCCCACCTTGCGATACCTCAAGTTGATGCTGTATCGTCAGAATCACATTTAGCTTCGTACTAATCTATGGCTTGGGTGGTCATTACTTCAGAAATGGACGGAAGACTCCACGTCAGAAAAAGGCCTCTGTTCAATACAGGTGGTGGAAATATCTGATCCATTCCCGGCTAAAGACAACCTTGGCCAGAGCTTGTAGAAGCTACTGCTACCAACAATACAGAATCCAACAGTAATGATGTACACGTGGACTTTTCAGGGTATCCGTACCATGCAAGACTCCATGCAAATGCAGCAAAATCAGAAACAACAACAACAATGGCGAGACTACATCTCCCTGCCCTTTAGTTCCTCTTCTTTTTCTTCTTCCTGTTCCGGCTCTTCTTTTTGGTATCTTCACTACCACCGACGTCGACTTCTGGTCCAATTGCGTCGAGGCGGATATTGCCATACTTCTGCCGTACCTCAAGCTCGAAGCTGTCCTTCTCCAACCTGAAGAGCGCCATAGTAGCGCGGGCGTCTTCGACTGAGCTATGCGCGCCGACTTGAATCTCCACGCCCAACAGCTTCTCTGCCAATAGCTTCAAACCTGGTGTGCGCCCTGGTATGGTGGCCAATTCTCTGAACTTTGAGAACTTGGATGTATCGCGAATGAAGCGCTTGTCATGCTTCAAGATGAGCACGTCGAGGTCATTCTTCACCGCGTGACCAACGAGTATGCGCCCGGTGAGAAGGATCTTAAGGTCGTTTCGTACTTCGTCGAAGGGTCGCGCGACGTCCTTGCGAAGATGCCTGGGCTCGATACCAGAGACATGTGTTCGATAGTCGGTGATTTCGATCTGTCGTGGTACCTGGACGTAGGAATCGTAGACCTGGTGACCGTGAAAGTTGACCAGAGACACTCTCGCTAGCGCAGAGTCGCGGTTGGGCTCTGGTCCTACTCCCACCATCTCGCAATCCAATGCGACGTATTTGCCGGGTAGCGCTACTTCTGACACGCCCTCATTCTCTACATCGGGGAAGTCGGGATGTGGTTCGAGGATTGACACTGCAGCTGCAGCGTCTCGCGGGTCGCTCAGAAGAGGCGTCTTCTTGAGAGAGGGCATCGAGACGCTCTTAGAGAGGGATTTGGTATCATGCTGCTTGACTGAAGCGCCCACAGACGTAGGCTCTTCCATCTTCTGTCGCTTTCTCGAGGGCAGGGGTTTGCGCGGTGTGTTCTTCTGTGAGCCGTTTACAGACTTTGCTGGTTCATCTCCGTGCTTCCCATTGGCGTGCTGTGGTCGCTTGCGCTTGAGTGAAGACGGCTTCTCTTCTTCCAACTTCTTGTTCTTCAGAGGTGTTGCCGGCGTTGAGGGCTTCAGGCGCTGCTGCAGTATCTTCCAGTTGCTGGACAGAGTGCCGAGATCGATTGGAGCCATTTTGTCGTTACCTGCGCGGCATAGCGGTGTGAGGGTCGTCCTGTCAGTGGTTGTCGAGAATGTTGGCCGTTTGACTTTCTCCGCTCAGTCCCCGCGAGCAAAAGTTCAAACGCGCGCTAGCACATTCCAGATGTCGGCTCGACGCGACGCAAAGGCCCGATCGGCAGGCGGCAACGTCGCGACACAGGACAGCACCCCCAACATCATCGCGACATCAAACTTCACAACGTGACCCAAAAACTGCAGTAGTCGAGGAACACGCAGCGCATCACCATGGCGCCTCGAGAGAACTCGCATGAGCCCTCCGGCACGCCGGCGCCGGTAGAAACTGGCTTTGCCACTCTTGCACAGCTGAGGTGAGTGCGACACTATGCGCAAAATCTGAACACGTATGCTGATGTATTGCGTGCAGAACCGGTGTGAAGGCATGGGTTGAGAAGGTACGTGAATGGCGTGATGCGCGACGCGAGCCCCAGCAGCATCCATCATCGGGATGGAAACACCAAGTCTTCTAAAACTCCAACTAACACCCCACAGGACGGCGAGAAGCGCAAAGCTGAAATACTGTCCATCCAAACACGGCAGGGCAGGCCCAAGTTTTATGTTCATTATGAGGAATTCAACAAACGTTTGGATGAATGGATCGAAGCCGAAAGGATAGATCTTTCGAGAGAAGTGGAGTGGCCTGCGCCTGAAAAAGCCGACAAGAAGAAGGGCACTACCGTCAAGACTGACAAAGCACCTTCAAAGTCTGATCAGAAGAATCTCAAGCGATCACGCAGCAAACTTGACCGCGAGATCTCTGGCACCCCAGAGTCGACGTCTAGCAACTTGCCAGGCAAAGCATCAAGACCATCTAAAGCAAGTGGAAAAGAAAATCAAGAGTTGATAGTGACAAGCGAAGTTACCGATGGCACGCCAAAACCCGAGGACGAGGAGATGGACCTCGTCGACGTGCAGGATGCCGCTGCAGCAGCAAAGGCTATGCCACCCCAGGACTACTCGAGAGAAGACGAAATCGAAAAGCTTCGTACATCAGGATCCATGACGCAGAACCAGACCGAAATCTCACGAGTGCGTAACTTGGAGAAGATTCAGATGGGCAAGTTCGAGGTCGAGCCTTGGTACTTCTCACCCTACCCAGTTGACTTTGTGGATTCAGATGTAGTCTACATCTGCGAGTTCTGTCTCTCTTACTACGGCGAAGTTACGCAGTTCGAGCGCCACCGCTCAAAGTGCCACCTCCTTCACCCCCCTGGCAACGAAATATACCGAGATGACTACGTATCCTTCTTCGAGATCGACGGGAGGCGGCAGCGAACATGGTGTCGCAATCTTTGTCTGCTTTCAAAACTCTTCTTAGATCACAAGACGCTCTATTACGATGTTGACCCTTTCTTGTTCTACTGCATGTGCACCCGCGACGAACACGGCTGCCATTTCGTAGGCTACTTCTCCAAAGAAAAGGAATCCGCAGAGGGCTACAACGTAGCCTGTATCCTTACGCTCCCTCAATACCAACGGAAAGGTTTCGGTAAACTGCTCATCGACTTTTCTTACCTCCTTTCCAAGCGTGAAAACAAGCTCGGGTCTCCAGAAAAGCCTTTGTCTGATTTGGGTCTTTTGGGATATCGTGCCTACTGGCAGGAGATTCTTGTCGACATACTCATGGAGCCTGGCCGTACAGAAGCAAATATCGAAGATCTGGGTGCTGCGACCGCAATGACCACGAATGATGTTCTACACACCCTGCAGAATCTGAACATGCTGCGATATAGCAAGAATCAGCATGTCGTCGTCCTTACAGATGCAGTTATTGCGCAGCGGGAGAGACAAAAGGCAAAGGAAAAGCTGAAAGGCAAGAGGAGCATCGATCCTGATCGCCTGATCTGGAAGCCACCCGTGTTCTCTGCAGCGAGTCGGACATGGAATTGGTAAAACTTTTGATCCTTTCACTTCTTTTGATCTCGTAATCATTGGTTTGGCGCGTGGCGTTGATAGTTTACTGCTTCATAGTATACCCAGACTCCTATTGACATTACCTTAGAGCGTCCAGCGCTTTCTCACGGCATTTCGTTCTCCCCTAGTAGTACGGCCCTTATCCCGTGCTGTCCAACCACTCAAAACACATCATTCTTATTGCTGCATCATCGAATCTCCATTCCAGCAGCACCTCTTTTTGCACATCCCCCCCAAACTCCGTCACCGCCTCATTAGGTTTCAACATGCCCCTCAACTCATCGACCACATCTCCTAATCGAATCCCGTTTCTTCGTTCGATCTTTACACAGCGCTGCTGCCATTCTCTCCTTGCTCCTCTTTGTAGTACATTGACGTACTCTTGATCCCACGCCGCCCCTTTCACACAATAAACCTCTACACTCCGCGTTACAGGCTTTGACAGGTACGCATCTATCACACTTCTCTCCCTGCTCACTTCCCTTTCACCCTCCCTAAACCACTCATCCAACTCTTCCGCACCTAACTTCGTCCTGACACAAATTCCCATGTCTCCCCTCGCTATCTCTTCCAAACCACCAACAAACTCGCACACATGCTTTCCCAGCCAAGGATGCAAGTATTGGCTCAGTGCAGAGAGAAGGTTACTGTAAGCACCTTCGTGCCAGAAGTAGTAGTCGTCTGAGATATCTAAAACGACCCCTGCATTCTGCCACAGCGTTGTTCGATGGACGATATCTTGGGCGAGAGATGAGATGGATTGAGGTAACTTCTTGAGTATGTGTGGTCTTGGAGTACTGGGATCATTACACACAGTGTCTGGTAGAGGAAAGTTGCGAGGATGGAGGTTGAGCCGGAGTGTTTCTTTCCAGTGTCTCGAGACTGAGGCGCAGGTACGAAGGTCTGTGGGTGGCAGGAAGGAGATGATTTCCATGAGCAATTCTGGGAGTAGAAAGATGCGATGCATATTGTGGTACCAGTGGTATCAATGGACTTGATCAGGGTATGACTTGGGCACGGAGTGAGGTTATATATGACTACTGGATTAGAAGATGGGCCGGAAGCAAGCTGAAACTCCTACTCCGCTACACAATCACCCTGGCTGCTTCGACTTCCCTACAGAAGTGGCAGTAGGCTATCTCACGTCAGCTGTACAATTGATGTCGTGATTAGAAGAGACATGTAACGTGATTCGTGGGATAAGGCGCAGGGCGGACACTTTCGGCATGTCGAAGTGCTTGGCGTGATTACTGATTACTCCCAATTTAAGAACAGACGACCAAGCTTTTGTAGTAGTCCTACGCCAACGCAGCCATCAACCCCGCAATACCACCCAACCCAATAGCCAGCGCCCGGAGCATGTTTAGCTTACCAAACTTGTCCAACAGCTCGCTCACTTCTTTATCTTCCGCTTCGCTACTGTTCTTCTCGGTCTTCTCTTGTGGTACGCTCAAGTCTTTCCATTGACTCACGTCATCCTTGCTATCGACAGATTCATCAGCGCTTCGCCCCTTCAATCCAGCTTTCTCTCGATACTCAGCAGATGCTGCACTTCGGCTCCCGCCCAGTTCCTCATTCTTCCTGATAAGGGCAAAGTTGGTTGGTATCATAAAACTGGTGATTGGTGCGATGCTGAAGGAAAGTACTGCGGCTACAAGGTAGAGTCCTGTCTTTCCCTTCACAGCATGCTGGAGCAATGACGATGTGGAGTTGAGGGATGAGGTGGGGAGGGCGCTGTAAGCGAGATAGACGAAGCCGGAGGCTGAAGTAATTGCCGCGGTTGGGAAGGTGTGAGAGCCCCGTGAGAAAAGCCAGCGTACCATGGGAAGAGAGCGAGATGCCGGTTGTGATTGTATCATGGGTATGTCGAAAAGGGACAATGCTGCGATGCCACCCGACGCCAGCAGCGCTGTGGATATGCTTATGATTTGTACGGTTTGTGTTGCTGACATGTTGTTGGGCTAGTGTGAAATTGGGAAATTGTTTTGGGGATATGGCAACAAACACCAAAAGAGATAAGAAGAATTCAAGAAAAGTAAAACTGTCTTCATATATACTAGAAGCGCTGATGTGGTCGTTTTGTTGGTGCACAAGCAACGCGTTCCGTGGACCCCGTAAGGAACGCGGTTATCGAGATGATGTCATGGCGTTTCTCGTATCAGACGAACATTTCGGTTGCGGCGTCCACTGACCCCGACATTGTCGCAAGATCGGTAACTCTACTCAGTTCGCTTGCGCACCTTGGGCAATGCGAACCAGCAAACCATCATGACGGCATACATACCAATTGCAACAGGGTGAAGCACCCAAGTACCTACGGGATTAGTTAGTCGATATTTGCGTCTCGGATAGTGGCAACTTACCAGAGGCTTGTGCGAGGACACCAGTTGTGAATGGAGCGACTGCACCGCCTGAACTTCCTGCACCGCCTATGAAGCCGATTGCAGTTGTTTGAACATGACGAGGCATGAGACGAGAAAAGATGGTCTGCGCACAAGGGTAGACAGGGCCCAACAACAAACCCAGCAAGCATACAGCGACCGCATTTCCAATCAAGTTCGGCGTCAACCATGCCAGAAGCTGAAGGCCTACTGTTCCAATTGTGAGAATGACGACGAATTTCTTCTCTCCTATTTTGGGTGCAGCATGAGTGAGTACAAAACGGCCAAGAGTGATTCCAGCCTATTGAAGAATTAGCATGTCTATTGCAGCATAAAGACGTTCTACATACCCAGAAGCCTGCTGTGACGTATCCAACCTTCGCAGGGTCCCCATTACGGTAGTTGATGAGGTACGAGATGAACCAGCCTGAGATGCTCACTTCGGCTCCTTGGTATGCGAAAATGAACAGTGCCCCGAATATGGTCACCTTGTTCTTCAAGGCGAGCTTTAAGTTCTTCAGCTTTGACGCGGCATTCTCTGCGGAAGTTTGCCTGCTGGTCGTGGCTTCCAAGAGGGTCTCCTCAGAGTCTTCCCTGTATGACCAGAAGGACCATGCGGCGAAGGCGATGCAGCAAAGTCGCAGCCCGACGCATATGAAGTAGAAGCGTGACCACAGGATTCCTTGCGAAACAATCGCTGTCCCGATGATAGGTGCTATTATTCCTCCGACGCCATAACTACCATGCGCCAGGCCAAGAATGACACTGGGTGGATGCGTATTCGCGCAGTACACGTTGTTGAGTGCTAGGTTGATAGCGGCACCAAATCCTAATAAGAAAAAGCTAGTGATGTTAGCAGTGCGTTGTTGACATCTTGGACCGCAGACTTACGATACGATGACGAGAGGATAAGGAGGCGTGCACACAAGGATAATATATGCAGATAGTTGTATCAACTCTGCGAATATCAACGTCTTTGCTCTTCCGAACTTTCCCAAAATTGAATTGGTGAAAAAGGCAGCAGAGATAAAACCGATGGCATTGCCGACAAAGACCAGAGACATGATCGAGTATGAGATGTGGTAGTACGACTCCATGTATGGGATCAAAGCGCCAACAACTGGTCAACAGTCAGTGTTTGTCCGCATTTGGTACCATGAAAATGGTGTGTAAGTTCAGATTCGCAATCCTCCATACCTGAATCGTTTATTCCGTTTGAGAAATAGATCATGCAGCAGCACAAGATCCTCCATTTGGTCATGGGCTCAGCGTTCCACATCCTCTCCCTGCCAACCGCATCTTCTCGAGTCGGTGTAGCCGGGCGACTCATCTCAAGCTCATTGGGAGTCTTGGGGGTTTGCGCACCCTTTGGCATATCAAATTCCGAGACTGAAGCCTGGCGACCATTGTCTGTATTGCGAGAAGCAAAGTCCGTGAGTTCAACTTCCGGCAATACACCTACATCACCAAGTGTTTGAGGTGCTTTGCTTTTGCTCTTTTGATATGTTGGTTCCGGGTTGGTAATGTTCGACACGGGTTGTATATCGAAGAACTTATGGAATGCAGACATGTTGTCGATACCCTCAATCTGCGGGGAGAGGATATCGGGCTGTGCGACTTGAAAACAATTGCTTTTCAATTGTAGAGTTCAGGCTGTAAAGAGTGTTGAAGATTTTCAAAAAGGTAGAGTCATAAATGAGAAGGTCTACCGAGCACTGATTGTATGAAAACTTTGTGCCCTTAAGCGGTAGTCCACGAAGTGCTCAACGAAAGCGACTAGCCAAATCAAAGGGCTGAGGGCGCAATCGCTGATAAATTGTAAAGCGCATAATTACCATATCACACCTGATAAAGAACCACCGGCTCCGACTTGGAGCCTATCACAGGCGACGGAGTACTTATCGTGTGGTCGCGCTGCAGCAGTGTGGAGATCGTGAACGGTCACCGAGTCGATCACGAAGCTCGTGAAACGTTGTGCAGCGAAACAGACGCGTCTACGACTGCAACCAGCTGTTCCAAGATGGTAACGGATCCGACAGTTGGAGAAGGACTGAGTCTAGAATTGAGGATGGAAAGCCGCTTTGCCTAGTCGGTCGCCAAAGTGCGAACTTTTGGAGGTCGGAGCGGTGAAAACTTCCCCGCGAGCGCGGCGAACCTTTCCTACTTGGAAATTTCCCAAGCACCCCTCCACTGCTGCACCACCACCATCGCAATCAGCAACCACCCCTCACCCTGCTTATCCAAGCTCTACTCCAACATGGCCCGTCCAAAGCGCAATGTGCTCGCCACCATAGACAGCACCATCACACCGCCTGACGCGCTGTCGCCAAACCACGTCATCGCGCGCATTACCAAAGCTGAGGGGAAGAACATTTATGCCGCCGAGCTACCAGATGGCAAGCCCGTACTTGCAGAGCTGGAAGCGAGGTTCAGATCGACAGTATGGATCAAGAGGGGTAGCTATGTGGTTGTAGACACTTCTGCGCTGGCAGATCGGGAGAACAAACTGGATGGAGAAATTGTCAATGTGGTTCGCGACGAGAAGGCCTGGAGGAAGATGGCGTACTGGTATGTTGCAACCGGGTATCATGTGATATGTGTACAGAGCGCTAATAACATAATATACAGGCCCAAGGAGTTCGTAAAGAAGTCCACCTATGTCGAGGATAGCGATGAAGAAGAATCAACCGTCGGAAAGATGCCGCCCACCGACTCAGACGAAGACTGAGCCTGCGATTGCACTCACTCAGCGTGCTCATGATCCTCCTCGATTATACCCTTCGTCACGCCTTCGTACTCTTTCCTCGTTCCCCACCATACGCCTGCGACCGTAATCGCCAGAACGCCCACAACCGTCGCCGAACTAGCCGGTGTACTTGGGTACACATTCCACGCCCACTCTTGCGCGCCCCATAATGCATATACCACGGCCGGATTGAAACCTGCTTTCCACAGCAGGAAGGGCGTGCTCCATGCAATGTAAGAGTAGAACTGGTAGTGCAGACTCCTCGCGCAGAGCAATCCAATCGTCATCGCGGTCAGCATTGTCGTCATGATGAAGTCGGGCGTAATCTTGCTAGACATGGTATCTTGGTCGCGTGGCTCAATGGCTGGAATACAAAGTTTGAGGAACTCGCGGACATTGCGCTTCGAAGGCTTGATCCAGCGGGTTCGCGCATACCAGACAAGGAGGCCAACATGGAGAGCGAGTAGGCCGATGGCGAAAGGCCGGGAGAGGAACGTTGATTCTGGGACGAAGCGCCAGTTCACGGTCCACTTGTAGAGGAAGGCACGGCTGAGTTCGAAAGCGCGAGCAAAGTAACTGGGTGCGCGCTTTCTGAAGGGATACCCAAACAGGACCTACAAACTGATCAATACCAATTGAGAAGTGATAGATATGGAAATGTGAAGATATACGTACCGAAATTTGCCCAATGATCATAGCCTGCGTTAATGCTTCTCTTCCGCCCAATTTCATCACCATCAAGATGCCCATCGCCGGCAATGGCAACAACAAGCTCATCTTGACATTCAGGCCCGTGCTATACAGCGCGCTTCCCAGATGCCATTGGTTGCGTTGGTAACAGTAGACAGCCAACCAAAAGAATAGTACAGCGAAACAATCGTTGAAGCATCGCAGCATGAAAATGCTATGCATACGCTTTGATAGAATCAGCAGCGGGAAGACGTAAGGTGGGACCTATCAAGACATTAGCATCAACCACAACACCTACAGCTCCCACCCAGCCTTGGCAAGCAATAGTTAGAACAGAAAAGTACTCACCCTAGCCTTCCTGTAACATTGGAAAACCACACCAAGCGTAAGCAGATACACTCCTGCGAAAATGTACTGCGCAAGGCCTATATCCCGCCCTTCATCCGTCCACTTGTACAGATGCTTGTAGATCCATACGTGCGCACCAGGGTACACAAGCGGACCTGTTGAGCCCGAAATGTTCTTGTAATCGCGCTCGCCTTTCAAATAGATAGATATCTGCTGCATATACGTCGTCCAGTCTATCTCTGTATCTGGAAAAATATCCTCGTTAGGACACGTGGTGGTTTATAAGTAAGACAGGAGAGCACGAACATGGTATCTTCTCGATTATCACGCCTGAAAGCGCCGCGTCTGCAATGAGCAAGAGAGGTGTCATCCATCTTGTGTGATCCGGATTGTAGGTTAGGTCTTTCGCGCGGGCGAGTAGTGACATGGCGGGCTGTTGTTGTACGCGGTTTTGAGGATGGCAAGTTCGCGGGTTGACGATGGTGTTATAGTTCGCGTCGCGTGTCACGTGGGAAGGAGGTTTGAAGTTTCAAGGATGATGGTTTCGCGCGACGTGTGTTTCAGGCATCGATTTCCTCTTGCGAGGCGTATGTAAATAGTGGTTTGATATGAGGTGGATGTGTTATTTTGGGGTCAGACGGCGATGCGCATGCATCTGTTTTATGCTTATAAGGGTAAGCGCGAGATTTTGGCTGTCAAGGATTTCTCCGTTCTTGTTACGATGATCTTTTTATGTTTAAAGTCCAACTCAAAATCTGTTTGCTTACTTTAGCATGTAATGATGTGATTGTTGTGTGTGGTTCATTCATTCTACTCGTGGTCGATAAGCCGCACATCACCGCTTTAGTACCTTCAACACTGACCGAACACTTTGAATGATCAGATAAATGGTTAAATTAAGTCTAGAATAAGGAATGTCTATCTTGAATGCGCTAATAAAAAATTTACAGTAAGAGAAGTTGATGCTTCTTATATGCTCGACCAACTATCGCTTAAGAGCTCTTGGGGAGAGTGACGAGGGTGATGTAGGCGTCGGCAACACCCTGGCAGACAAAGTCCTTAGGGCCGTTACCGCCAGCGCGGCAGTAGTTGGGAAGAGTGGCGGTAGCGACATAGGTGATGCTGGGAATATGTTAGTATATCTGAATCTGCGAAGTAATCGAAGGTACAAGGGTAACTTACTCGTCGCTAACCTTCTGCTTCAGGAGCAGACCGCTGCGGTCGCTGTCGAAAGAGAAGTCCATGAAGCTGTTCTCGCCACAGGAGTACCACTTGTGGTCCTCAAGCTTATCGGCCTGAGCAGAGCAGGTGAAGTCGAGGGTTCCTCCGTTGGTGGCCTTGATGTTGAAGCCGAGGCTGTTGTAGTAGGTTCCTTCCGGCTTGCGTCCGTAGAATTCGGAGATCTTCCAGACGTAGTCACCCTCAGTGGTGACAGGGCAGGATGCGGTGTCCTGGCGAGACTCGAGAGGAGCAGCAGCGGCAAGGCCAGCGGCGGCGAAGAGAGAGGCGATGGTGGTGAACTGCATTTTGATGAAGTTGATTTGAGGTTTGAGGTTGAAGAATAGAGTTTTGGTAGTTGAGTAGTTGTTGTTGGATGTGAAAGCTGTTGTTGGATGATGAGTTTAAGACAGGACACTTGCCTGGCATTATATATCATCGCATCTCGTATCTGGGGTATGCTACTGCTACCACGATCATCATGCCCGTCCTCTTCCAAGGTTCAATACGAGGCGATTGACATCAAGCGTCCCCCTTGGCCATGCCCACAAGAACACACCAGAGGGGTACACCATGAAAACCTTTCTGGAAACACGAGCATCGGCCCATGCCGACAGCGCCGGAAAGACACTACTGCCCCATTTTTGGAGCCTCAGAACCCTTGTTAACGGTGTCATGAGCCATTAGCGGCATCCGGGGTGACCGGATGAGGCGATAACACGTCCTATCCAGACAGCTGGTAAACCTAACGGCGCTAGAACAGTGCCAAATATACGAGATGTGACGTTTAGTAGGATGAATAGGGTCTGCGCAGTAGCATCGTGCGCTGGCCGATCGGCCGCACAAGAACTCGCTTCAGGACGCTAGCGACATGATGTCCTGGGCTACAGGTATCCTAGTTGCTGTTACGATGGATACGATGGTGAGAGGCGACTGCATTTTTTAGATTCGTATTGTTGCGGTACAGACTCCGATGCTGGGATAAGAACAACTGTAGCTTATCGGCACACTCGGAACGCGGCAAAGAGGTTATCCGTGCTGAGATGTAGAGTCTGAGTGCTGTGGATTCTAGGAAATATGGCAATGTCAATCATGACTTCAATTTCCTAGAGTTCCTGTCGGTCCGTTCATGAACTTCGAGCGGCCTCATCGCCCGCCGTCTGGGTGGCCCGAGTGCGATCAGTAATCTGGTTCTTTTCATGGAGCCTGAATAATTAGCATGAAGATCTTTCTTGGACGAAGGATCAAAATACGACTTCGCTTGGAAATGAACCGAGATGATGGAACTTTGAGCCGTGAGTGCATTGCATCATAGACGGTTGTGACGGGTGTGGCTGCCGATCACCTGAAGGCTCGTGTTCAAGGGTCCACGCTCAGAGAGCGGAGACTGCCATCGACACCATCACCACTAATGCCCGATCGGAGTTGTTCCGGCGGTACGCTATTTTTGCTATTTCTGGACCCGCGATCGAAGGCTTAGCCTTGAACGAGAACGAATACCATGCGTCCTACGCTACGAAGAGGCCCATCTAGCCTGGGGAAATACATGAGTGGCAACAGACGCTCCATGGTTGTGCCTACCGTGCACGAAGAAGTTCCAGATACACGCAGTGGTGATCTGAGGCCGAGCACAAACATTGTACGGTCACTTTCGGTCATTCACGAAGATCTTGTTATTGTATTTGCGGATTGACGGCACCCGCCATTTCCTCGGAACCTGACTGAATGGTTTGCTAATTTAATCGGAGCCTGACGGATCGATGTCTCTGCACTGGTATCTAATTAGCAATGACATTGGACGTGACATCGTATTGTCGACGCTGGCAACATTTGAGTGGAGCCATCGGAATGGTCGTCCATGACCTATCAGCGGTGGGGGTCTCGACTTCGACACTGCGGATTGGTCTTCGAATCTTCAGGAACAGCCGGAAGTATGGGGTGACAAGATGTGGGGATTCGTCGTAGGATATCTCGGCTCTGCCTAACTTGAACTACCCCAAGACGGCTGGGAGTGCAAAAGTTGCTAGACGCATACGGAGGTGTTGATGAGATAACGGCAGTCCACATATTGGTCATAGCGAGAGGCAAGAGCAGGAGCTAACAGGAAAGGGTCAGAGGATTGGATTTTCTGTGACAGACGAGAAACTTTCATGCGCTGTTCGTGTGAAAAGGATGTGCACTAATCACAATCTGAGACATGAGATCTAGTTGCCAGCATGCAAGCTACAGCCAGGTGCAAGTGGGTTTGCAGAGTTACCTACGTCTACAGCAAGAATAGAGCCACCAACGAGATCGCAGTGTAGTGGATGCGGAAAACGTTACGAAGACAGGAAACGTACAACAACCGGTACCCATCCTGGTACGATGCCTTACCGGTCGGACCAAAACGCTCAAACGCTCATTCAAGCATCCCAATGGCAACATGTCTACCCTGCAGCGATGAGAGTGACATTGACTACAGCTATAGCGAGAACGATATCGATATGAAGACGCAATCTTCAAAGACGAACGAAGTGACGAGAACCCCGATAATACTTCAATTAGTAATTCAGAAAGCGACTCTGGTGAAATCGTGGCTACGATACCGATGCATTGTGCAATTGTTTATTTCTTAAGAGTGCATCAGCAAGAAGAACTACAGCCGTCCTGTTGAACAGCACAGTCAATCATGCGTGTACATTTGAGTTATTCTATATCTTACTTTCTTTAAAGCCCAGCAGTAGAAGCCACGCACAGGCATTAATGGTATGATAACGATATCGATGCATGATGCGAATGTGTACCTCCCTAGCAGCACGGCTTCACCGAGTGCCCACCTCTTTCTCTAATAGCTAAGTGAAGCAACGCTACAAACAATCATACACAACGCGAGCGTAAGGAAAAAGATACCCAAACGCCAAGATGCGGACCTACCACAGCCGCTTCATAAGAAGCCGACTGGTGGTCTCAGGCATCAAACTCCGAAAGCAGGAGATGAAGAGATGTTCAAATCTCTCCATCTCATTCTACTTCAAAACAAAATACAAGCCGTTCCAACATAGGAGACTCATCCTTCAGATGCTAGTATGACTTTGCCAAAATTCCTACGATACGAATCCACCATTCCATGTGTTCAGCCTAGGCGTCTTACGGCGAGACTAATCAACCTTACGGAAGAGACGTTTTGCTGATGCAAGTAGGTTGCCAATAATGGCTGGTTCGATAGATGCTGGTGGAGGCTGACCCGATTCCAGATATCCGAGCTCGACTTCGCAGGGATCGCTGTCATAAGACCCATTGAAGATACTCCGAGATCTAAGCCCAGCCATATCGAAATACGGCAAACCGCCCGTCCGCCATCCCTGAGGCATGTTGTTTCCAGGTGGTATATTGGCGACTGAATCGTTGCCACGCCTCTCGTACTCGTCCAGTCGTTTCGTTATATGGATCGTCAGGTCACACAAATAGAAGCTGATTGGAATGGCTATAGAAAGTGCGAAGAATGGGTCCGTCTTGGTGCGGTCCAGCCAATAAGTTCGCGTTGGTGCGAAGGCCATAAGAACAAGCGTAGCAAGCACGCTGATAGCTGATGCAACGAAGCAGAACAGCTTCCCTCCACCGTTTCGAAGCATCACGAGCTCGCAGTAAGCGACCATAAACATGATGTATCCGAAGCCAGTCGCCATATGTACAAATGCTGCGCTGTTCGTGCCATCACCGTCTGATCGCGTGCGGATTGATTGGAGTACTGCTGCTATGCATAGCATGCCAAGGGAGGCCGATTTCTCCTTCTTGGAGTGTCGAAACCATTTAGCGATGAGGAAACATATTGCGAGTATGATAACAGGAGCGACAAGAGTGGTACACAACACTAAAATCTCTTCGAGAATACTTAGGCTTCGCTGCTTCCATGTTGGGTGAAGGTCGGCATTTGGACTCTGCGCGGCAACAATGGGACTGAGGGTTGCAGCGATCAAGACGAACCTGAAAGACCTGAACCCTCCAGACGCGGACGAAGACCTAAGCGAATCTTGTAGAGCGTGATGTAGCCAAGGGCAACTACAGACCCATCGCAGACTGGATATGATGATTGCAATAAAGCATTTCAGAGTGCGCATGCCGTATCGTTGTGGAGAGCTGAAATCGTATTGCCTGTGAGGTAGACCAAGCTTGTCAGTGGCCTCGGATTCCTTGTGTAGGATTTCGTGGCCCTGGACGCGTGTCGCGCCTGCACAAATTATATCCCCCAGCTCCAAGTGGATAACGTTGCCCACAAGTGAACCTTTGGTGGACATTGGGTGTCTCTTGCCTGACCGCAGAGCACTAGCAAGAAAGCTTTCTTCCGCTTCTTTTCTATCCGCGAATAGTTGTTGCGTTCTGTATCTTCTCAGGGTCGCTAGTCCCACGGCAACCATAATCACAGTGGATGGCAAAGCGACAACAACCCTTCCCCAGGAATATCCTTGAACCCCATACAGACTGAACTCGAGACTGAAGAGTGCTGCAGTAACGAAGAGCATGAGTACTTGATCGTTGTATGCGATCCACCCTATCTTGAGAACTTCGCTTTGCATGTGCTCCAGCTGTGTATCACAAGATACTCTGCTTTTGTGGTCAGCCACAGCATTCGATGGATTCGAGAGCGTCAGAGATGTCTCTGTATGGCTATGTGCAGATTCTTTGAGGTCTTGCTCGCCATATTTATCAAAAGGCTGTGGGATTTCGATGGCCTCCTCAATGCTCACTGTGTCATCGAGCTGGGCCTTTTCGGTACTTGGGTTAGGTTGCCTGTCTGCTCGTAGCCCTTCCTTGGTGGCCTCAAAACCGCTGAGCGCATCAAGAACACTGAGACTCTTTGATCCGTATGATTTGCCTAGTTGACCAAGGGAAGAGGCGATGTTCTCGTTTTCTCCCTTAGAGTTCGCTTCTGTGCCGGTGCCGGATTTAGGTATATCCTTTTCGTGCAGAATCCTCATCGTTAGAGACTTAGTCGCGGTCATAATCGGTCCCGCGCCCAATCTCGAATCTGAACCCATCGAGTCACTTGCGTATGGAACGCTTAGCAAAGCAGAATTGTTTCGTTTCATAGATGGTTGATCGATGCCATGCGTATGTACTGGTGACGTATCTCTTTTATCGAAAGTCAGCAACGTTCTTCATTGCATGCCATAAAGCTAGCAGCACATACCGATTACGGAGCCCACTCGCACTCATGTTGAGTGAAGCTGGTCCGATAAATCTACCTAAGAACGTGTACTTCCTGAATATGAGGGGTCTGGTAGTGAGCTTACTGGGATGTTGCTCCAAGTAACGAGAGACTTGATCGATGATTACGACAAGGCGGGTTTGCAGATTTCGAAGGGGTATAGGAGGATATACAGCAAATCTTCCTTCAAAAGAATGGGACAAGAAGAAAAGGGAAGAAGAAGGATGTGCACATGTTGCGATAGCTTCGAGGATCCCACATTCAGTGTAGCCTGGATCCGCCGACCACATACAGTATGCCACGAACGGTACTGACATGTAACAAAAGGCTAGCAAATTAAAGACAGCCCCAATTGTGATTATCAGCTGCCACCGACCATACAAGATGTGCCACGCGCTATGGCTGAGATACGGCTGAAGGCTGAGCGAGCGCCAGGCAGCCCCAAGCGAGGCTATGGGTCGCCGCTGGCCATACAGAGTATGCCACGGAAGAATGCCAAATTGCAGCTGAAGGCCGGGCAAGCAATATGAGATCGCGTGTGAGGCTGTAAGCCTCCACTGCATATGTAGAGTATGTCACCGGATAGTACTGTGTTGAGGTTCAGACAAGTCCTGTGCCTCATTCGAAAGACCGCAACAGTTGTTTGCCTCATTTCACTCGACCCCCCCACAAGCCGCACAAAGAAAATACTGTATATGCGAATTCACCTCACCGGCCATACACATAGGTACGATACCTTCTATCTTGCACGGATCATTTGCGCTGTTTCTCTGTCAACGACATGTCTGGGAGACCCAGTACTCCAGATGCTGGCTGCAAGTACGCAATCCTCCAATTCCAACATCATAATCAAGTCTTTGATCGAGTGATACCGCTCACAGACTGTACGTCGAACCCCAGAACTGTGAACTGGCACCGATCCGAGACTAATCGCCATATGACGAGCGACAAAGATGGCCCAGTTGCGCCTGGAAAGACAGAACACCATATCTCCTTGGACCACGCCCGAAATTTGCTGGATGATGTGGCAGTGCAGCAAGAATGCCAAGGTCGATCAGGAAGGCCGCTTGTATGGCTCGTCGAAGGCCCTGCAGCCAGGCTAGCTGTCCAGACATTACACTGGGTTGATCAAGAGTTGGACGGACGGAACGATGCACACAGATTGGTTCTCCAGTCTACATATGGTGTGGTTAGATTGCAGAACCATCACCGGACGTTCCTCCACAGTTGTATACTCACTGTCGCTCAAGTGGGTGGATACTGGCTGATTCGAAACCACGAAATCTCCCAAGACCGCATTCCCCACGGCGACAGGAATCCTTTCACATACACTGGAGTACCAGGAGTTAAACCAACAGGCGTCTTCGTTATATGTGCACTGCTATACGGTGTATTCGCGATGCTACAATACCACATCAATCGGGCGGACTACTTCCAGCAACTTTGTTTGATCATTGGACTTGCAGCAGGCCTTTTACTCAGTTCGTCGATTCCGTTCGCCGTAGCAGAATCGTCGGTATCGATACACACCCTTGCAGCTACAACCAGCGTGGCCATGGCATGTAGTGCTTATGGACATTGGACATGGCGGACGTTCTTCAGCACGCGAGAGATCAGGCTGGAGAAGATACTCGCAGAGTGGGGAGATGATGCGCAGGACATGGACATGAATGGGCATGTCATAAGATTTTGCGAGCTGCCTTGACCAGCTGCAATATTGATTGTGATAGTCAATGGTAAATATACTGGAGTATGGTGTCAGTGTTCTATCATCTAGAGGAACGAACGCTTCGGTTTTCGATACATGTTCGTCCACGCTGCAAGGATTGAATTCTCAGAGCGTCATGTAGTAGTTAGGTCGTCTTGATTGGATTAAAGATCTACTCCCATTGCGTGCCCTTTAGTCGTTGCATAAGGTACTCGACTTCAACTTCCTTGGTCAGAGGAATGACCCAATCCTGCGAGGTTGTTAGAATGCCCTGGTGAGAATGCAGTAGAATAACTTACCTTGTACATTCCGACTACTGCGTCTGCGTTTACCTTGGACGAACCATTAGCGCCCAGGTCTGGGTCTGTGCCGTACGTCTTCGCCTTTAGTCTCAACCTCTCCAGGACCTTCTTCTCCACGGCGGCATTTGTGATGGCCTCATCAATGCCCTTCCTGTCTTCGTCCTTGATCAACTTGACGAAGCGCTCAGTCTCCTGCTGGAACTTGGCCTCTGCAACGAACTTGCCAAAGTGTATCCTCCGCGACAAGGACTGGATGGTCATGACATCGCATGTGGCCGAGGATCCGTAGTTTTCTTGCGACTCGCCCCTGTCCTCGCGGTCGGTCGGGGCGCATGCTGCGGGTAAGATGTGCTTGATGTAGCAGTCTTTCAGTTGGGCGTTGACGTTGACATTGTTGGGGTGAAGGATCTGGGGGTAGTTGAGGGGCTTGAGGATGGGCTCTTGGAGGACTTCGGGGAAGAAGGGGTACTCGTCGGGCGACTGGTAGCGGCGGACGAGGGACTGTAGGCGCTCCTGCTCGCGCAGCATCCAGTCGAACAGGCTGGTGTCGGGCTCGCCAATGTCGACGCCGCCGGGCAGGTAGATGGTCTTGTTCAGCGGGAACTGGACGCGCTCAATCAGGTGGAAGGTGATTGTGTCCTCGAGACGACTGTTGTTGGCTGTCAGTTTGACTCAGACGCGCGCATGGTGGGGAGAGCGCACATGAGCTGGAAGCGGATGTTGGCCAGGTCCAGGGCCTTGGAGGCATCCGAGAGGTCAATGGCCGCGTCCATGGTTCCTCGTCGACAAGATGCAGAAAGAGGGAGCGTGTGCGTGTGCGTGAATGGTGTTGGCAGCCATGATAGTCGGCGCTGGTGGTACAACGAGCATGTACCCGACCATCGGCGCTGCTCTTCGGCCCATGACGCAGGCGCATTGCCGATGGCTGAGCTCCACCCACATGCAGCGAGAACAAGACCGCCCACCACCACCAGAGCGTCTTGTACATATCTATCCTTCTCTCAGCACCACCACGCGCCTCACCGCCTCCTGGCCCCTCCCATTGAGCACGCGAGCAGCACTGAGACTGGAATGCGAAGACAAATGATGACATAAAGACGGTTTCTTGCACTGCGCCGCCCGTTGAGTCCCACCCGCCACGCCTGCTCGCATGGCCTCGTCAACCGCCCGCAATGGATCACCAGGTCGCGGGAGGTCCACCAGCCCGCGCTCGCCCCGGTACTCGCAGGCCTTCGACGACAGCAATGACGAGGGCAGCTATCTAGACGCCCTCCCAGATGTAGCCCCACCGCAATTTCCAACTCGCAGACGGTGATGCTAATGCTCGCTAGACCCGCCATCTGCAAGCTTTTGGCAAAAAAGTGACTGCCACCGCTGGCAGCTTGATAGGCGCCGAAGGAGTCACCCAGCACTACCAGAACGCGATTGGGGAGCTCCACCGCGAGCTGAAGCGCCCTCTGATGCAGCGATCCGTCTTTTCCTTCGCCCAGACCACCCCCCGCGAGATCGTGCGCTCGCGAATCTCCGTCCCCGAGATCCAGCAGCGAGCACTGGCCTACATCCCCAACGACCTGCTGTCCAACATCCCCGAGGACAACAGCGAGTTCTCCCTCTTCCAGGGCTTCGAAGCCTCGCTGCCCGACAAGCCCGACAGCCATGCGAACAAACATGGCCGCCACAACGCGCGCGGCCAGAGGCTCATCGGCGCCGGCCAGGACGAAGACGACCCCAACGTCCCGCCGTCCATGCAGAAGCTGAGGAAGCAGAGAAACGCCATGGGCCACCGGTTAGAGATGATGGGCGTGCGGAAACACATGTGTGTCGCCGAAATACACGAAATCGACAACAAGATCGCGAACCTCAACACAATGCGCAAGATGGTGCTCGACCGCCTGGCCGGCCTTGAGCTCGAAGAGGGCGAGCTTGAGCAGGATCTCCTCACCGTGGACAACCGCATCGAGGACCTCCAAGAAGAGCTGGACGACGAAGCCGCATTGGCGCCCAAGACGGCAGAGTCGCAAACAAGCGAAGAACAGTCAGAAGGCAAGGGCGAATTCATGTCCGAGTCAATATACCAGAAGATACCGCAATCACCAAAGACGAAGAACAAGGCGAAGAGGCTTTCCAAGAGAATGTCCATGCCCGTACTACACGAACATCTGCAATCAGGATCCAAGATCAAGGAACTGCCCGCGCACATGGACTCCATCACCGCCATGGACTTTGACGCGCCATGGGGTATGATGGTCACGGCATCTCTGGATGACACCGTACGAGTATGGGATCTGAGCGCCGGCCGGTGCATCGGAATGCTTGAGGGTCATTTGTCTTCCGTGCGCTGCCTCCAGGTCGAAGAAAATATCGTTGCAACTGGCTCAATGGACGCTTCTATCAAGCTTTGGGACTTGAGCAAGGCTGAATATGCGCCCATGGACAACCGGATAAACAAGCACGATGAAGAAAGTGATGATGGTCTGGCCTTTGAGAACTCCGAAGACGCACCTCCTGCACCGCCATCGACCAGCATGCAGGATTGCCCTCTGTTCTCCCTCGAATCGCACGTCGATGAAGTCACTGCACTCCATTTCCGCGGCGACACTCTGGTTTCTGGCTCAGCTGATAAGACACTACGACAGTGGGATCTGGTCAAGGGACGATGCGTACAGACGCTTGATGTCCTTTGGGCCGCTGCTCAAGCAACCGCGACAAACACCTCTCAGAGCACATGGCGACAGACTGGACGCTCCGCTGATTCCTCTGCCGACTTCGTCGGCGCTATCCAAGTCTTCGATGCCGCACTGGCGTGTGGTACCGCAGACGGTATGGTACGCTTATGGGATCTGCGTAGCGGACAAGTACACCGAAGTCTCGTCGGCCACACAGGCCCTGTCACAGCTCTGCAATTCGACGACGTCCACCTCGTAACCGGTAGTGCCGATAGGAGTATACGTGTAAGTTCATCGTTTCCGTCTTCATCCAGGCTTGTTTACTGATATGAACAGATCTGGGATCTCCGAACCGGCGCCATTGCTGATGCCTATGCTTACGACCACCCCATCACCAGCATGATGTTCGACTCACGCCGCATTGTGTCTGCAGCGGGTGAGGACGTAGTCAAGGTTTACGATAAGACGGATGGAAGACACTGGAGCTGTGGACCCGGCGCTGACGAAAGCGACGAGACCAAGTATCCCACCATTGAGCATGTTAGGATAAAGGATGGCTATCTCGTTGAAGGACGCAGAGATGGTACAGTTGGTGTGTGGTCGTGCTAGTAGAGCTACTGAGCGGAGAGAATTGTATATAAGAACATGACTGGTGCGCATACATGCCAGTCATGGAAATGGCAGTGTTGTACTATTGCAGAATGCTTGTTGGAACATGACTATTCGACCAATCTGCCGATACCACAATGGCCGACATGTTTTTTACCATGCGTCAGTTGTGACGCATGTGGGCCGCTCAAGCCAATGTCTTGATGTAGCAGACTTTATCCACAATTCGCGTACTAAGCTCAACGAGATATGAAATCTGCCCGGGCGGGATGCATGCTTAGTGGAGGAGGAGATGGGCATTTATGATTGACACGGTTCAGATCGCAGTTTGTGGGATACATGTTGTTTGATTACAGTCAACCTTTCAACCTATACTAGCGTCGTGAAGACAACAAAATAATACAGTTCTGACGCGGCACGTTACAAGCACGCGTTTACTGGGGCCGATGGAAGCTTGGTTGTACGATGCAGGGATGGCCCGCGACGCTCCGATCTGCCATGGTGACGTAACGCTGAGCATGCCGACTAACATTTCCGCGCTTCCCTAGACGCCTACCCTGTTCCAATGCACCCGTCACACTTGTATAGTACATTCGCTTGTCCTATCTACCTATGATATTTCAACTCTAATTTTGCGATTGTTGAGTCAATTGCTCGCATACCTCACGCAGGCGCATCCTGCCCGCCATTCCTGTCCGCCCCAGCTTCCTCTCCCGCTTCCAGCTGCTCCGCGAGAGCTCTGAGTTCCCGCAATGCTACCACGACAAGCCGCGTCGCTATCACGCGGATACAATGCATCTTCTAGAGCCTCACTTCTCTGCAGAAGATTGCCCCGAGCGACGCCCGCACAATTCCGCGCTTCCTTTAGCAATGGCAGTCCAGCCTCTGCTTCGAGACGCGCTGCCCTACAAACCTCACAATTGAGCAAGCAAACCCCCACCACCACGGCGATAAGAACCGCCTCCACAAAACCTCTAGATGTTCCGCGATCGCGTTTTGCTCGCTATGCCTACAGAACAGCAGCAATGCTTGGCTCTTTCGTCGCCGTTAGCGGTGTTCTGGTCATCGCCTTCTTCGTCTACGACGCCTACACATACAACGAAGACCCCATCGCGACCGACATTCCCGTCTCAGAACTCGCACTCAGCCCGAGGAGAGGAGGACCAAAGAACCTGCCAATCGCCGACCACTTCGTAGACGACGATGAATGTCCTGAGAATAAGAAGCTCAAGCACAAGCCAAAGTTGGTCATATTGGGTACGGGCTGGGGCAGCGTGGCCCTCCTGAAGCAATTGAACCAGGATGACTACCACGTTGTTGTTATATCACCGTCCAACACCTTCCTCTTCACACCTATGCTGCCGTCTGCCACCGTAGGAACACTGGAGCTGCGATCCCTTGTCGAACCAGTCCGAAAAATTGTGCGAAGGGTGCGCGGGCATTTCCTCAAGGCCAAGGCCGAAGACGTCGAGTTCTCCGAGAAGCTCATCGAATGCTCAGCTGTCGATGCCCATGGTCAGGAGCAAAGATTCTACGTCCCTTACGATAAGCTGGTTGTTGGCGTCGGATCTGTCTCAAACTCCCACGGCGTCAAGGGTCTTGAGCACTGCCACTTCCTCAAGGATATCAGCGATGCTAGACTCATTCGCAACCAGGTCGTAAAGAATCTTGAACACGCATGCTTACCTACAACATCTGACGAGGAGAGGCGAAGGCTCCTGTCGTTTGTGGTTTGTGGTGGTGGACCCACTGGAGTAGAATTCGCAGCTGAGCTCTTCGACATGCTCAACGAGGACCTCTGCAAGCTCTACCCAAGACTTCTTCGCAACGAAATCTCCGTCCACGTCATCCAATCCCGCAGTCATATCCTGAACACCTACGAAGAGGCGCTGTCCCAGTACGCTGAGCAACGATTCGCACACGACTCTGTTGATATTCTCACAAATTCGCGCGTGAAGGAGGTCCAGTCAGACAAGATCCTCTTCTCACAAAAGGATGAAAATGGCAAGGTGGTAGTTAAGGAGATTCCAATGGGCTTCTGTCTTTGGTCAACCGGTGTTGCACAGACAGACCTTTGCAAGCGTCTCGCTGCTAAACTTGACGGCCAGAACAACAAGCATGCCCTCGAAACCGATACACACCTTCGTCTAAACGGTTCACCCCTCGGCGATGTATACGCTATTGGTGACTGCGCGACTGTCCAAAACAACGTCTCTGACCACATCGTAAACTTCCTCCGCACCACCGCCTGGGAGAAGGGTAAGGACCCCGAGAAGCTGCAGATTTCGTACTCAGACTGGCGCGGCATTGCCAAGCGCGTCAAGCAGCGCTTCCCACAGGCAGCAAATCACCTTCGCCGCCTGGACAAGCTATTCGAACAGTATGACAAGGACAAGTCTGGTACTCTAGACTTTGGCGAGCTTAGAGAGCTTCTCTTCCAGATTGACTCGAAGCTCACATCCCTACCCGCCACCGCTCAACGTGCCAACCAGCAGGGTGAATACCTCGGCCGCAAGTTCAACAAGATCGCTCAGGCAGCCCCTGGCATGGCACTCAACAACGTTGACTACGGCGACCTAGACGATGCAGTATACAAGGCGTTCGAGTACAAGCATCTTGGTAGCTTGGCCTACATTGGCAATGCAGCTATCTTCGACTACAACGGCTATGGCCTGAGCGGTGGTCTGTTGGCCGTCTACCTGTGGAGAGGTGTGTACTTTGCACAGAGTGTGAGCTTCAGGACGAGGTGTTTGCTTGCTATGGACTGGACTAAGAGAGCACTTTTTGGACGAGGTATGTTATTTCGTTGCTCACTTTCCTTGAATGTGACTAAGCTAACGTCAAAACAGACTTGATGAACTTCTAATCGATGCATGGCTTATTGTAGCGAAGTTTAGAGTGTATAGACCGACATCCTTTTTCGGCACCTCTTTGTATTCTCTTGTGTAGACTATTATTATTCTTTCTGTTCAAGAGGGCGGCGTGATGCTGCTCTTAATTCTATTCTATACTTTCAGATGACAAATGCAAAGCCTTGGTGATCTGTGCTTCACTTTGATTCCTTCTACCTTGTTCTAACGCCATAACCAACTGAAGTGTCTCGAGGCGGAAGCAGCCACAGTGACTGCTGATCCGGCTACTGAAAAAGCCACCGTTGTTTTCATAGTATTCACTATCACCGTCGAATGCTGGGCGAACCATGACGGCAACAGATACAAGAAGCCCGAGGACGACTGTCGCATCCTGCTTTCCTCATCCATGAACGTCTGTTCTGTGGCTGATTTGTACCGAAGTAGGTATGCGGATGTCCTCTTGGTGCAAAAAGAAGGGGTTGGAGACGATGGAGGCTGACTCCTTATACTTTCTGCAATATAGATTTCGTCTATATATCTGGGAACTGCAATGGCAGCAAAAAGCTGATCTTCGGTTTGGGGGAAACTAGGTGAATATTCCTCGTTCAACACCATCAAGGTATTCCACGACTGAGCTAGGAAACTCTTGGGGAAGAGCATCGACAGCCATCTTCCGTGGAGTAGCAACATAAACTGAGGAAGAGAACAGAATGAAGCAGAGTGTGCAATTGGGACCGCAGATCGTTTCCGTTGGCTTGTGTCCTTGCAACCACATTCAATATATGCCCATCGTTTTTGGGTTGAGATGAAGCCAGCTTGCGCAGCACTACCAAAGGCTGGCCTGCGCTGATGTGTACCTCCATGGTATTCTATGTTCATATGAAGCTCAAGACCTCAAAAACATCCAGAATCATGTTTTCATGGCTCTTGTTCGTCTGCCATGGCTTCGAGTCGTGTTCGGACCATATTAGGGTTTGATCGTCCTTGCTCGTCGGTCCAGCATTTCAATACCTCTTCCCGCATGATTCTGCGCGGAGCTCTCTTTCCTGTGAAAAGTTCGAATTGCGCGAATCCTTGTTCAGGTAATAGGTCAAGGCCGTCCAGACAGATCCAAGAGGCCGATGCTTCTTCACGAACTTGTTTCGTCAAGGGCGTATTGAGGGTACGATAAGCGAGCTCAATGACTACACCACCTGATGGTGACTGCATCCAGTGAAGGGGAAGCGTGAAATTGGGTGATGGCTCTTCGCCAACCGCGTGCGTGGGTATGCAGGAAACAATGACAGTGGGTGCGCGGAGATCGCTTGGCCAGGCTTCAGTCCTAGATTCGAGTATGCGGAATGTGGGTTGTGATCCTTGGACGAATGATGGGAAGAGCTTGGCTGCCGAAGGGCTCGCAGCTAGCTGAGAGAAGTAGTTGACTAGTTTCCGTGCATTCGGGACTGTTCGGTTGAAGATGACAATGTTCTTGATTCCAAGCTGTAGCATGGCATAGATCGCTGCTCTGGCCATTCCTCCTGACCCAATAACGAGGCTAGAGGTGGTAGTGGGCCGAACAGCGTTAGCTGGAGAGAGCCCCCTTCGTATACAGGATCTTATGCCTATCCAGTCAGTATTATCGCCGAACAGTGCTTTGACAGGCCCAGATTGGTTTCGTTCTTGGTAGAGCTCAACACCATCCGCATCGGGTATGCTTCCATCGCTGTTAAGATGACGGATTGGAAGGAGCGTGTTGATGGCTCCAATCGCTCGGGCATGTCGACTCAGGGAGTGAGTAAGTGCAATAGCATCCACTTTGAAAGGCTGGCTGACTGCAGTACCACCAAAGTTCGGTTTCCGCAACAACTCCCTTATGTTCTCGTCCAGTGTCGCAGTTTGAAGGCGATCGAAATGATGAGGCATGCCGCAGGCTCGGTATGCCGCGTTGTGCATAGCTGGGCTCAAGCTATACCCTGCTGCCGCGCCGATGATGTAAAACTCCATAGGATCGTACGTGAAAGACGCGTAGAGAATATGCGTCGCCTCTGTTACAGTAAGCCACGAAGTTTCTGGGTTCTCTTGCGCTCTGATCTCGAAGTTTGCACTTTTTCGAAGCTTTTCTGGTATTACAGGAGTAAGAACCTGGTTGAAGCAAGCGGAACGACGACCTGCGCGTCCAGTGTTGTAGCATATCATGGGTATCCTCTGTGACTTGGCGTATATGGTATTGCGGAATGATTGGATCGCGGCATTGTCATCCATAAAGTTTGCCGGCCTGGTAAAGCGTACAAGGCTACAACCTAAGCGCATTGCAGTGTCGTACTTCTCGAGCCAGAAAACATCGTACCAATCCATAGCTGCGTGCAGATGGCCAATTATCTTTGTTGATCCTCTCGACGCAACAATCGCTCGAATGAGTTCCTCGTCCATTGTCAGATCAACAGTGGCGAACTCAGGCGCCATCCGTAGGCCATACCATAAGTTCGCCAAATAAGAAGATGTGGAATGGCTGGCGCGTGTTGAAGGCGGCATGACGTGGAAGATAATCGGAGTCACGGTACTCCTCCGGACTCTAAATATGCTCTTGCTGATGTTTTCAGCGTGATCCGCCGTAAGCTGTGTTGGTTCGGTGACAATCTCAAATGCATCGCAGCCAAACTCCAGCTCTTCAATATCGACTTCCTCCGGCGTAAGATCGGATAGTTGTACTTGGACAGCACAAGTATAATTTCTCAGCTCCAAATCGACGTAGGACAGTGGAAAGTGGCCAGGGTCTAGCGTGGGCGCATCGCTTTTGATCTTCCGGTGTGTGTTTTGGGGAGATAGTATCAAAGCCAGAAATTTGAAAAACGTTCTCTCGGCTCGTTTCAGAGTCAAGAAAGCAGGAACAGAGGGCTGATGTGCAGGTGCAACTGAGAGATGGGCTGCATTCGTTTCGGAGATGTTGTAGAACTCATAGTTCGAGCACCGTCGGAAAACCGGAGTGCTAAGAGCAAGCAGCTCTCGAACTTTCGATTCGTCCGTGTCAAGATACTCTCGTACACTACGCACGTCGCGTGTAATGTGAATGACTGGGTGAGATGCCGAAAATTCGTGCAGCAGAGCTTGGCTGCTGCTATCCAACGGAAAACCTCCGTTGCAGACGATGATGGCGCCTCTGCTATAAGTTTTCAGTGTGTCGCGTAAGATCTCTTCTTGCCTGAGACTGCGGTTTGAAGATCCAAATTGTTTGCGATATGCAGTGGTCGAGAAGCCTGTTGCAGAGTGGAAGACACTCTCCATGTCGATGACCCTTCGCTGACAGGCTACCGAAGCCATCATAGCCAACGTTGCTTTGCCTGTTCCATGCATCCCAATGAGCACGATAGACGCTCTGGAGTCAAATACTCTCCGGCATTCATACTGTGAGGGTGCCGGTGTTGACCTTGCCGAATTCGGTAAACTTCGCTGTTTGGACGCAGGCGGAGATGGTGTTGGCAGAGAAGAGCGTCCATCCTTCGCTCCGGTTTCAGTGTTCATTGCGGCAAATGAACGCTTGGTACCAACCGTCACGGAAGCCATCGCTTACAGAATTTGCGATCCGAAATTGTCTCGAGGTGTCAACAGCATGAAGCACAGCATGGCGTTGCAATTGGCAGCGACAGGTGTCTTAGCGAAGCACGTGATGTCGGTCCGCCCCGCTTTTCCTCGGGGGTAAAACTTTATCCTCCTGCACAGACGCTTCCCCAGCTTCTCCACTGCCTCACTCGGTAAGCTCGATGGCTTCTTTCGTAAGCTACTTGGACGAAAGATGTCTGGATACCCAGTGCCCGTACGATCTTCAATCCATTCCTTTGGCAAGGCTCCATGAGGCGCTGCTTCGCTCTTTTTGCGACGCGAAAGAAGAGCTGTCCGACCTATGTCTTTGCAACCCCAGGAAAAACGCCGCCAGGCCACACAAGATGTACCGGTAAAACGATTTCGGGTATCAAGAGCGTGCGATCAATGCCGCAACGCTCGCGAGAAGTGTGATGCAAATCAGCCCAACTGCTCTCCCTGCTTGCAGGCTAGGCGCATTTGTACCTATACATCAAATCCTAAGAAACGAGGACTACAACCTGGGTACATACGCACCCTTGAAATGACATTGGCCTTCATCTTCCAACAAAACACTGAAATCGAGTCTTTGGTACACGACCAGTTAGCCCAAAGGAATACAGTCTTGCTAGCAAGGGGTACTAAAGAATCAAACCGTTTACACAAGAGCTGGACCAAGAGCAGATTTTGTCGGGACGTCACCAAAGCATTATCTGGAGAGCAGATAGGGGCAAGCGAAGACAGACTGCCAAGCTCCGACGATGACAGTGAGGTCGATACCGAGGATGCAACACTTCTTCAGATGACACCAAAACCTCAGTCTCAGCATTCGGTATTAGTTCCAGATTGGAATAATGATAAACGCTGACATTAGCAGGCTTCGTGGCAAAGCGGTGCAAGTTACATGTCCCAAGAGATGGGTCCACCTTCGATACCGGATCTCCATTCCCCTAGTCTGCAACAGTCTACGGGCTCTTCGTCTCTTACACCGTTACCTGGCGACTGCTGGCGGCTGATCGAGATATACTGTACTTATACGCAATGCTGGCTTCCTATCGCAGACAAGCTTGAGATCCTGAAGCTATCGTATTCTTATCCGGAACGAGGACTGGCCCTTTCCTGCGATATGTCGAGCTCGGGAAGTCATGCCGAGATGTGGAGCATGTTCGCAGTGGGTTCCTCGCAGGACGACAACAATGTCACTGGAGAAAGCTACCGTGCATGGTCGCCAATCAAGCTTTACAATATTGCTAGACAGCTCATCCCTGACGAGTTAGGCAACTTCGAGTTGGATCACGTGAAGGCTCTTCTTAATCTGGCCTTATTCAACATCAACAGAAGACTTTTTGATGCTTCTTGGCATCTAGTTGGCGCTGCTTTGCGAATATCACTCATGCTTGCTGAAACATCGGATGTAGCTGCGTCTCGACGAAAGCATGTCATGTCTGGTTGTTTCGTACTTGACAGTCTCCTTTCTCTACATTTGAAACGACGTCCTTATCTCGACAGGGCTGAACTGTCGTGGATGGGCAAGATAGAAGAGGATGGAATGGAAGAATGGCAGCCGTGGAGTGGGCATCTTAATCTTGATCCAACGCGTCGGTCGAATTCTCCAACACTTGCCTTGAGTACCTTCAACGCTCTCTTGGAGTTGGTTGATATTCTCGGGTGTACCTCTAGGGAGCAGACAGCACCAAATTTCCTACATGAGATGATCGGTCGGCTTGAGATGTGGAAATCGGCACTACCACAGAAACTTGAATACATCCGGAAAGACTCTGCCTTTACTCCAGCAACGCCGCCCGCGTTACTCTTGCGATTCACATATCTTGTTACTGCGTTCACGCTTGTCCCCTCACAGGCATGGCTTCAGCAGATCTTAGATATGTTGAGCGTACTGCAACGGCAACTTGGAGCCACGAGAATGCCAGCGATCATTGCTTGCCTATTACAAAGTATCAGGAGAAGTACCGCTAGTTTAAACCTAGATCAACCGACTCACACCCGGATTCGAGAATTGTTTGCCGCGCTCGGCCAATCATCCTATGAGCCTTCAGAAGGAGCATCAACAGGTTTAAGATCGGTATCTATTAGCCGAAGAGATACATCTTCAGAAAATCCTGGGACTTTACAGACCTCTCCCCAACCTCTTGTACCACAACTTCGTGGCCCGTTCGTTGAACGATACCAGCAACCACCTGACCCTTCTAGTATGGTTCATGGCACACTACCAGACATGGATAGCAATCACCAAGGACATAGTGTACCGCCATTTGAACCAAACTTATTCGACTTCGGGATGGCAGGACCAATCTTCGATCCCCATGATCCCTATAATGCTTTGGTGTCTGGTGACTTGGGAAGCTTTCTCGATGACTTCGCTTCGAAACACGGTGCCAAAAAACTGCAGAACCAGCCGCAGTTCATGGAGAACCTAGGTTTCTCGTCAGAAGTCAGCATGGCCGACCTTTTAGCAGCGGACCCTGGGCGGTTCATGCCTACCGCGTCGAACATGGGCGCAGACAACAGCGAGGAATCTCCCCAATTTCCGTTGAACACATTTTATGATGCTGGATGAGACCAAAAGTAGCCCCTAGATGAGATTTGATCCGAGCGTACAGCCGAGATGTGCGTGCTTCATATCATGCTCGAGACGCTTAAGAACGATGCTTGATTGTTGGGTATCTTCTACGTTCGAACCACCAAAACGCCAAAACAATATAGGTTGTCAAATCAAACAAAATATCAGCTCCGACCTTACAACCGCGCATACTCGGCTTGTTCAGTCCTATTGACTTCGTTACGCGTTTTACCCACTGATTTCGACCCATCACATCTCACTCCTGGATCAAGTTGCAAATCATAGCACATGGATAACCACGCATTCGCAGCACGCTCCGCGAGCTCTTCGACAACTCCATGATCCTCACTGTTCATGACTCGATTGAACAATTCCATGCTGACCCAGCCGTCAAAGCCGATGTCCTTGATGATAGCGTGTGCGACATCTTTGACAGGCAAGTACGCTCCACGGCTACTCTCGCCATAAAACAGCCTGCAATTTCTGCTCCAAGACATGCGTGCCGGTTGTTCAGCATTATAGAAAGGGTGACCAGGTCGCAGAGGTTGTTCGAGACGCTCAGCATCGACAATCTGGATGAAGAAGATCTTCTCTTTATGAGGCTTGATCTGCGTGACCAGCCGCTGTATTGACTCGCGAACTTCCTGATCGGCACCTGCGACCTTTCCAGTTTCCGAGGTGGGGTCTGCATATATCCTGCCCAAGATGTTGAAGCTGTCCAAACAGATGCCAAAATTCGGTCGGTCAACGCTTTGTACGATGTCCCAACACATCTCCCATTTGTCAACGTGTGTTCCCCAACTTAGACTTTCGTATGCGAATCGGATGATTGGTGTCTGCTGTAACCCTAGATCTGCGATCTCTTGAAGGTCGCCTACGATGAGGTTGATATCGGAAGAACACTCGTCCTGGGAAAGGAAGGTTGAGGGCACTTGCACGATATCGGTCTGGAGGACATGTGCCAATTGCATCCAAAGCTTCATCTCTTCGATCCGCTCAGCATGTCGCTTCCTGTCCAAGAGACCCTCGTAGTGCATAAATGGCTGCAGACAAATGATCTCAAGATCCAATGAAGAGCATAGGTCACGGACCGAGGCAGCGCCTGCCAGGAGATCGGACGGAGAGTCGGACCCGGAGTGATCAACCAAGTCTTCGTAGAAGAGTTCGATGCCCTCTAATCCATGTTTTGCAGCCATAGAGAGCTTGTATTCGAGGCTGTGGCCAGCGTAGCACCGGCCTAGAGACATAGACGAGATACCCGGACGGCACGCCATGATGTGATGCTGATGGAAGAAGGATGCGGAATTTTGTGTAGTGTATAGTATGATATTGTAAGGACGAAACTATAGAGTTGAGGATTGCAAAGCTAGCAATTGCAGTGACTCGACTGATAAGACGTCTATGAGGTGACTGACGTATATCTAAGACCGTTCACAACCGTCCGAGATCTTGATCTACACACCCTCCACCACCGCTTCCTACCGTGTAAATACGCGGTAAATACTACTGATTCAGACAAGCTCGGCGAATACTGGATGCTGAATACCCCGGAATAATGCTGGAAAATGTGAGACGGTGCCTTTCGCAACCGTGCTGTTCCGGCGCAAGCAGTGGGAAAGCACGCCCTGGTGTCGGTGCAGATGGAGGTTTGGCGCTAGCCGAGCGGAAAAGAACTTACACCCCGAGCACGGCGCCACTTCGGTCACCGATTGTTGTTTCCGCGGTACCACTGCGAGCTCGGCACAGAAGGAATGTGGAGATGGCGACGAAGGCGTTATTTCTGCTGGTAACGATGAGCGGTTCGTAGCCGACATAGCCGTTGATCCTGAAGGTGTCAATGGTCATCCCGTGAAAGGTGACAATACTTTGTATGCTGCAGGGTCTATGATGTCACTGTGGTCACTCATTCGACTTGTATGTTGCAATCAAATTATCGTCTCGAAATACTCCGAGATTTCTTAGGCAATGATTTTGGTGGGGGGTTTTGTCGCGAACGTGTAGAATGGACTGTCTCTGAGCATAGCGTCGGTACACAAGCTACTGTGAAGGCTTTTTCTATCATTATTGTTGGGCTGCTGAAACATCCGTAAGCGATACATCACGACGAATGATCTTCGCAGCTCAGATTTGTATGGTTGGAGAGTGGCTTTGGTGAAATTGATTGTTCCATTGCTATGTACGACATTGCACGTGTGCAAGACAATCGAGCGCTTAAGCCATCTCTTTGTGTTCATCCGCCCTTGCCTTCTCATCCCTGATTACGAGGTTCACTTCCTCGTTCTCCTTCATCCTGTCAACCAGGACGCCGTGTGCCTTGAATGCAGGCTTGATGGTGAAGAGCTCGTCCATGCGCTCGAGTGGGATACCCTTGGTTTCAGGAATCAAGAAGAATACGAACGGTATGCTGAGCAGCATAAGGGATGCGAAGAACATGTATACTCCGTAGCCCATGGCACTAAACATTTGAGGAGTGAATCTTGAGATGATGAAGTTCCAGAACCTGCAAAGGTATCAGTAAATGTCTTACAGGCATTTCGTACAGTGAAAACTTACCAGTTGTTAGCCGCAGCAAAAGCTTGACCCAGAGAACGGGTCTGCTGGCTGTACATCTCGGAGTTGATGACCCATGGGGTACCGTTCCATGAGGGGGTGTAAAAGGCAGTCCAGAGGTAGAAGAAGAAGACTGCGCTGATACCGCCGGAGGAGAGGTTGCCTGAGGGGTTAGGGTTGTTCGCGGGGTCTGCGATCTTGATGTAGGCAGCAATGTACCACATGCAGAGAGAGCCACCTAGAGCACCATACATAAGGAGCTTGGTGCGACCGAGACGATCGATCAACCAGATGAGCCAGACAAAAGTCAAAACGCATTTGACGACACCGAAGATACCAGTGGTAAGGAACCCTTCAGTAACGCCAAGACTCTTGAAGACGGTTGGAGAGTAGTAGTTGATCGCGTTAATTCCTGATTAAGGTACACAAAGTCAGCAAACGTTTCACATGCAGTTTTTAAAGAGACAATTGCTTACCAGATCCGTTCTGCCAAAGGAACAGCATGCCGCCGAGGAAGAGGCGGTATTGTACCTTGCGATGCTTAAGCGCAAGGAATGGCTTCCAGAAACCGGGTCCAACGGTAAGTCTGTCGTGTTCGACTTGAGCATCTATAGCCTCAAGCTCTTCCATGATGTATGGGTGGTCTTCGGGGAGGTTGCGGATCCAGCAGAGATCCTTCAGCGCTTGCTCGCGCTTCCCCTTGCTCAAACACCATCGGGGTGATTCTCTCATCCAGAAAGCACCGAGCAACAAGCAGCCAGCGGGAATGAGTTGCACGGCAAAAGGAATGATCCATTGCTTGTGAGAAGGCGCCATGGTCTCTTGGAGACCATAGTTGATCCAGCTATCTACGAGTTAGCGTGTGCTGTTCGCGAATGATGATCGTGCTTGACTTACAATCCAACGAGACCTCCCATCTGCCATCCGAGCTCGTAGATACCAACAAGTCGTCCACGAACAGCTGGCGGTGACAGTTCGGAGATATAGATTGGGACCATGTTACTGCATCCACCTACCCCCAAGCCTGCTAGAACACGGCCACCAATGATCAAACCGAGACCTCGGTCGCCATTGGCACCCAACATCATACCAGCGCCCACGATGAACTGAATGTATCAGTGACCGCTCTTACTATCAGGAAAGCATTGAGTGACTCACTATGAGGACCCAGAGAATAAGAGACTTCCTCCTGCCGATGTAGTGACTGGATGCATATGCTCCAAAAGCACCGAAGAAAGCACCAGCTTGGTATACCGAGACGATGTTGGCCTTGGTGAGGTTTAGGTCTGCGGGATCCATCTCCGCGAAGCCAAATTCTTCAACGAAAGATGGTAGAGCCAGTGTCGTGCCAATGAAGGCACTGTCGTAACCAATCATGCACGCTGCCCATGATGCGACACATGCTGCTGTGTAGACTCTCCAGTTGTAGACAGCCTTGGGCGTCGGTCGGTCCTCGACGAGGGTAAGGAGACCCATGTTGAAGTCGAAGAATCGGTGTGCTTGTAGACTTCAAGGTTGCTGGTCTCTGTTGGTGCCGAAGTAGAGATTGAGGTCGTCAGCCAGGCAAGTAGGCTTGGCTTGGGCGAGATGAAAGAGCAATCCAACAGATGAAGATCAGTCTGCACCTATATATCCTAGCCGAGATGAGTCCGATAACGTGCTGTTTTGCGGAGAATGTGGAGAAAACGCCACAAACCCCATGGAGATGAGCTACGAAGGAGTCAAACAATCGCGCACACACTCATTGGCCGTCTGGTTCGTAGAGAGGTTGATGCTGACCTTGGCCCGGAAGAATCGCTAAGCACCCCAGGAAGAATCGGACACTGTGCGATCGCATGGAGAAGCCATGCTCTCGCCGACCCCAGACTGGACCCGGGAACCTGAGTTTTCACGCCAGTCATTCCTAGTCGGGAAGTGATGGAATTACCCAGAGGGTTGGTGATGTCGCAGGGTCCGGAAGCGCATTTACACGCGAGGTTTAGTGGCCGGAGCTTTCTCGCTGATTGGATGAATCGCGTAGCAGTCAGAAGAACACCGGTCAGTAGCATCAACGTCAACACGCTTGACTCGCGTCTTCTCCACGTGCGACATGACTTTTTCCGGTTCCCAACGCGTTGAATCTGGGGTATTGGCGCATGCGTTAGACGGCATGATAGAACACGCCTTGAGCTTTACCACCAGCATCATTCTTTCAATATCTCATCATCTGGAACAGCATCAGTTATCAATTACTCGGCAAACCTCACCAACCATCAATTCCATTCCCTGAATATCCGACACGCAACACACGACACCTACATACCATCATGTCCACTGAACCCAGCATACCGGAGGTATCGCAAACCGAGCGCCATGGCTACCTCTTCGGCCACCCAATCGCACACTCGATGTCGCCTTTATTACACAAGACTGTATACGACAACCTAGGGTTAAACTGGGCACAATATCCTTTGGAGTCGAGAGACATGAGCTTGTTCCTACAACTGATCAGACATCCTCATTTCTACGGAGCTTCGGTGACAATGCCTCACAAAGTCGCGATACTCAAACACCTTGATGGTCTTACAGAAGAGGGACAGGATGTAGGCGCAGTAAATACCCTCTTCATCCAAGAAGACGCTTCTGGAAATCGGTTATACATGGGTACCAATACCGACGTGATAGGCATAAGGGATGCGTTCGCATACAACGTAGAACCAACCAAGTTTGAGAACAGGCCAGCGTTGGTGATCGGCGGAGGCGGTGCAGCAAGAAGCGCAGTCTACGCGTTGAGAAAATGGATGAAGGCCAGCGCGATATATCTCGTGAGTTTTATACTACAAAAGATTCAAGGTTTGAAGATGATGCTGATAGTGAACTCTCAGGTCAACCGGGACCCATCAGAAGTCGAAGCTGTAATAAGCGAATGCACAACCCGCGGCTATGGCGACTCTCTCGTCCACGTTTCCACCGTCGCACAAGCACAGAGTATAGAGGGTGTTGGTGCAATCGTAGCCTGCGTACCAAACTTCACACCCGTCACACCAGCTGAGATTGAGGCGCGGCAAGTTCTTGAATGCTTTTTGGCGAAACCACACAAGGGAGCGCTACTAGAGATGTGTTACCATCCGACCACTTGGACGGAGATCGCGGAAGTAGGAAAGCAGAATGACTGGCAGATTGTGCTGGGAACGGAGGCATTAATATACCAGGGACTGGAACAAGATCGCTATTGGACCGGAAAGGCAGTAGCTGAGTTGCCAGTTGAGAAGGTGCAAGAAGCTATCGCCAGGAAGCTGAGCGAGGCAAGATTGTAGTCGTTAATCGAACTGAACATATCTACGTATACTTGTCACAGGCCATGAGCTCGAAGCGTGATACGAAAACTATTTACGCTCCAGGTCGCGAATAGTCGAGATTACGGACCCGCCGCCATACCTCACGTACTGTCCTTTCTTGACTCTGTCGCCCTGTTTCCGTCGGCGATGGTCCAGCGGGTCTGATAGCCAAATACAACCGACTCCCTAGCTTCACTTCTTCAATAGGCGCATTGGCCTCATCCTCCGGGGGGTTCGCCGTCGTGACCAGTCCTCCAGCTTCGTGTAAGATAGCAATGCCAGCCGCAACATCCCATTCCCAACACCCTCCTTCCCACCAGATATCAAACGCTCCCATAGCAACATATGCCAGATCTAGTGTTGCACTTCCTAGACTTCTAACTCCATGAACCATGCCTCCTCTCCCCTGTCTTCCTCCAATCTCAGCCGCCATATTGACAAAACTCTCAATCTTGCGATGCATATTGCCATCTGGCGTATCTCTTCTATCCTTGCCCCATTCACATGAGAAGATACAACCACTAGGCGCCTTTGCCGGCATGGGTGGTATGGGGTTGCGCACCAGCGGGAGACGTTGAGTTTCGTTGTAGAAGGCGCCGCGACCAGCGCAGGACGAGAAGAATTGGTTCGTGAAGGGCGCGTATATGACGCCAATGAGCGGTTTGGATTTGTGTATGAAGGCGATGCTCACGCAGAACATGGGGAACAGGTGGATATAGTTTACTGTTCCGTCGAGAGGGTCGACACACCACGTAGGTGAGGCGTCGATTAGGTAGTCGCGGGAGGAGCCTTTGCTATACGATTCTTCGCCGACAAACCTGTAAACGATCAATATATACTTCTGTTATCGAAGATTGAAGACATACGTGTGCTTGGGGTACTTCTCAGCTATTGCCTTCTTGATAAATGCCTCAACATCCTCGTCCGTCTCAGTAACCAAATCGACAGCATTCTCTTTCTGAACATGTTCCTTCTCTTCGCCTGACGCATTCCCACCATCGATTCTCAATTGCGCGGCATCCATGAGCATCTTACCCGCCTTCCGCCCCAACTGGACAGCAAACGCGTAGATCTCATCGAGTTCTTCTCTTGAAATGTCCGTCATGTTGATTGCCTGTTGTCGTGTATACAAAGAATACTAGATTGGCATGGCAGAAACGCCATGGCGAACCAACACGCGCCAGAAGCGATCGCGTCGCACATCATCCGTCTAAAGCCGTATCGGCTAGGAACGGAAAGGGTCCTGATAGCTACATGTAGGGAAGTGGGACGTCATTCTTTGAGATTGGAAGCAAGACGGCCGATCGTAAGGGTGGGGGTAAGGACTTTTCCCTTTCCGAAAGCCACCGGAATCTCGGAACGAGCGTGCACTGAGACCATACGCGACACGAAAGACAGATCAGTCGTGTTATCGCAATATCTCCCAACATCAGCACAGTTTCAAAAGCACCGATATTGGCTTATTGGCTCAGGTCGTATCAAAAGCTACCGTTTCAGGACGTCTCCTCCATACTTACAGCCCAACATGCCCAAATCCATTCTCCTAATAAACGGTCCAAACCTGAACCTCCTCGGCACGCGCGAACCTACAATCTACGGCTCTACATCTCTCTCAGACGTAATTACCTCCGCGCATACCCAATGTACCGAACGATCCGTGAACTTTTCGCACATTCAATCGAACCACGAAGGCGTACTCGTTGATCGCATACACGAGGCACGCGGCAAAGTCGACTTCGTTGTGATCAACCCCGGCGCGCTCACACATACCAGCGTCGCATTGAGGGACGCGTTGGCCGGCGTGGAAATACCCTTTGTTGAAGTGCACATCAGTAACATACATAAGAGGGAGGCGTTCAGACATCACAGTTATCTGAGCGATAAGGCCGAAGCGGTAATTTGTGGTTTGGGAGTATATGGATATGAGGCAGCTATCGAGTTTGCGGTGAGGTATCTTAGGGAAAAGGACGAGAAGAAGGCGAATTTGTAGAGCGTCATGTATGGCTAGATTTGTGGCGGCAAATGATGCTTTGATTTTGGTACCGATGTCTATGGAGTCTCCTGTTCGCCAGTAACATGCAGATTATCAGTCGTGCGTTCTACTGAATCCCTGTTTGATATCCTGTCGCGCTTCAAGGTATGTTTGCAATGCTGTGATAGCTGGTAGCAGAAGCATGACCACACTCAACGTCTGTCCGAATCCCCAAACGTTCTCCTCTTTATCCTGCAAACCACAGAAGTTTGCCGGGTCCTCAGGTGCCGCGAACTTCTGCGTCAGGACTAAGATAGCGGACAAGATTGCGAGCAATATTTGCACCACGAATGCAATGGCTGGATTGAGGAAGAGAAAGTATATGAGACGCAGACCAAGACGCGCTGGACATATGAACCGTGGTGAAAACCCTTTCTCCTTTTGTGTGGAGTCGGTCAAGCGGCGTACGAGGGCTTGTATTGAAGTCTCTGAACAAGACGATGGTGTGTCCAGACCTCTGCCTTCCGGGTCGTATAGGATGCAAACTAATGCCGTCGAGAAGCCGATTAGGATGAGAAATAGTGGTACGAGGAACGACAGCCTTTGTACACGACTGCGCAGTATAGATGTACCATCTTCGTCTTCGATAAGATTGGGCGGCATCGCAATGGCGGTGATCATGGATGTAAGCAGAAATAGAGCGAAGCATACGACAAGCGCGAGGCGGATCTTTGCAATGAGCTTGTACTTACGGAAGTACTTTCGGAGCGTGATCAAAGCAGCGAGATGCGATGACGATGAGAGAGCCCATATGTAGAGGGTAAGGACGAAGTGAGCACCTTGGACACGAAATGAGCGTTGCGCCACCTGAAGGTATACTGTCAGTAGGTAACAACATCAAGAGACGTCGACCGTACTTTGATCCATCCACTCAGAAGTACAGCGTAGCCCGTGATGAGTTGCTGATCGCCGAAACCAATTATGAGTGGGTCTAGGAATGGACGCCACGCGTAATGCTTCTTCCACTCATTCTCCAAGAAGCGCTCCCGGATGTATGTGAGCGGCGCTCGAGGCGTGAAGTGACCCTTCGTATCGAATGCTTGGTCGAGAAGCATAACGAGGATAGAGGCAAATGTAGTCATGAAGCTTGCGATGACAAATGACAGGACGACCTGCGACATTGTTAAACTGATACCACACGAAGTAATCTGGGGTTCTAACTCCTACACCAGCGATGTCTGGCTCTGCTCCATTGGCGCAATCCCCATTCCAGGCCGCTATGCTGTCAAATGTGACCCATGGTGGTGCCATGCATGAGCAACGAATCGAAAGCTGGGTTGCGTGTGGAATTGGACGTTTTGAAACCGTTAAGTCAATAGGATGAGGATGTCTGAGTTGCCCAAACAGGGCATTGTGAGAGGCTTTCGAGGGAGGTTTGGGTGGACTATGTGTGCGTAGATAGTAGGATGAAACGTAGGTGTGGAGACAAGAAGAGTAAAAGGGAAAGGCGGTCGATGTGTTTGGAATGACCTTGAGTGACGATTTTGTCAAGCCTCATACATGTTATCGCACGTGGCAAGAGTAATTGAGGAAAGTGCTGCCATCGAAGCTCGCGAGTCACTCATGTGGAAACCTTGGAACAACAAATCACGAAGTCTCGTGTACGAATCTTATACATTGTGTGTAGTGCAAGCTGGTTCGCTGGGTATCAAGTACTATTTAGACAGCCTACTTCATTTCTGCTTACTCTTCGCCTTGACGCGAGCAGCCAGCTTTTTGATATCATCCTCGCCCTCTGCAGCATCCTGTTTGGACTTCTTCGACTCTCGTTGAAGTTCTGGCTCATCACCATCCTTGCCTTGTTTGCGCTTCTTGCGACCCTCCTCTAGCAGCGCCTTCATACCTGACGTCTCCTTGAACCTAGGGTTTGTAGGATCGATAGCAAACTCATGGCTTTCGTACAACTTCGCAAAACGAGGATCGGTCGTGTCGATCTTGAAGTTGTCCTCTATGATGGGAGCGTTCTTCTTGGCTTTCTTGCCCTTCTTCTTGGCCTTCTCCGACTTGACGATTTCATTCATGTCGAAATGGCGCAGCTTGGAGTCGTCTTCGTCTGCCATAAGCAGCTCCAGGTTCGCGCGCTCAGCTGCGGCCGCCTGATCCTGCTGCTCTTGCTCTGCCTTCTTCTTTGCTTTCTCAGACTTCTTCGACTTGGGCTTGGCGGCCTTTGCAGCTTCTTCGGGATCAGAGGCAAAGAACGGGTCGTTGAATGGATCGTCTTCGTTCGCATCCGCTGGCGCATCCGCCTCCTGCTCAACTGGGGCATCAGGGTCCCTGCCGGCCTTCTTGGCTTCCCACCTCTCCTTACGCTTCGCCTTCCTTTCCTTCTCTTTGCGAATGTACTTCTCCATTGTAGTCTCTTGCAGTGGGATTTCGTTCTCGAATACGTCGCCGTTGCTAGCGCCATTGGATAGTCCTCCTGTGAAGGTAATCTGCATCTCGCTATCTGGCTTTGGAAAGTCGCGATCGCGCTTTGCAGACGTCTTTTTCTTCGTTTTTGAAGACTTGCCAGGAGCCTCCAGTCCCAAAGCAGCCCTGAGACTTGCGGCCTTGTCTGCCTTTGCTGCTGCTTCCTCGTCTTCGGAAGATGACTCGTCTGTGCCCAGGTATGCTTGCAGCTCGTTCTCATCAATCTCCTTACGGGAGAAAGCTCGCTTTTGCACTTCCTTCCGTGTCGCGTCGTCAGCGTCCCAGGTCAACTTGACCTTTGAGTGTGTAAGTGCATCCGTTGAGAACTCGTTGGGTTTATAGCCGTCCGGCAGCTTCGCGCATTCGTCGTGGGGATCTTGGTCGAAGGTTGTGCCGTCGGGAACGAATCGTAGGTCGAAGAAGTTGGCGCTCGTCAGGTATTCTCGGCCATCGAGATTGTCGTAGATGGACTTTGCGACATTGGCAGAGGAACATGTGATGACGGCGTAGTAGTATCGCAGCCTGTCAAGTTGGTAGGCTCGCAGTTTGGTGGAGTCGAATTCTTCGCCTGTTTCGTCTCCTTGCAAGTCTGCCCTGTTTTGTTCCTCATCGTCTGCGTCCGAGATGTCCGAGTCGTCGTCAAGCACGCCGATGTTGTTCTTGTCTCTATTGGACGTGGATGCGAAGATCTCGCGGGGCGGTCCCTCAATCTCCTCACGCTGCAGGCGCTCCATACCAAACTCGCTAGGGTATATGACAACGTTGAGGATTCGCCCATCAGCCGGAACGAACGAGTTTGCTACAGCCATGATGTCGGTGGCCCGTATGTTGTCCCAGTCCATGTTCACAGCAGCCAAGCGTGCAGAGATGTCGCCTGTCGGAACTTCATTGTCGTCGCCGGCAAGCTCTGTTTGCTCCTCCAGTTCGACCTCGTCCTCTTCTTCGCTGGAGCTCTCGTCCGATGAAGACTCAAGTCCACCGTCTCTGATGGGGTCAAAGCCTTCTTGCTGTACCCTCTGCATTTCCTTCTTGACCGCTTTGTCCCGTTTCTTGTTAGCCGGTCGCTCTAGCTCCAGCTCGTCTCCGTCGTCTTCGTCGTCTTCATCTTCGTCGTCCTTGTCATCGCTGTCGGCGTCATATAGCCTGTCGATGGCCTTTTTGCCAGCTTCCTTGGATACCTTTCTGCCATATTTGTCGACTGTGGCCTTGTTGTAGAAGTCTGGATCGCTCCGTAGTCGCGAGAACCGGGGATCGAGCTTGGTCTTGGTGTGCTTCTTCGAGGGGAGTCTGAACTTGGGGTCGGTTTCGAAGTTTGCGAATCGCGAGTCGTCTGTGGTAGGCGCGCTAGATTTCGCGCCCTTTACAGGTATCGTCTGTCGTTTTGGAAGAGGCATTGTGAAGTTTGCTTGTCCGTGGAGGCGGAGGGCTGTCGCGCAGCGCTAGATTGGGAAGCTGAACTTTTTCTGGGGCGGTGGCAGATCGGCGGCGACGACGTTTGATTGGATACCGCCTCGGAGGTAATCGACGGCTAGGGATTCGACAGCCGATCTGGGGAAGCTTTAGCTGCGTCACTCTCAAGAGGGGAAATACATCACACGACGGTCCCGGAAGGGCTCCGGCTGTCCCAACAACTTCTTCACGTCTTGGTCAACTTGCCAGTCTGCTTCCTACTTCCACAATACCCGTCTCAGCTGAAAACATCCCAGACAAAACACCATGGCTTACTCCAGACTCCTCACGTAAGTCGGGAGCTATGCACAAGTCTAGCTTGAGCTTATGCATAGCATTGGAACATGTAGCTGATACTGACCGCCTGCAGTCCCCGCAACATGACTTTGGTCTCTTTGGCTTCACTCGGCAGTGGCTACTTCATTCTCAAGTCAAAGGCGCTCGCCGACAAGCAGAGAGACCGTGCTGCAGGCGACTATACTGTCACAGTCGATAGGTCAGGTACGAGATCCCATTCCACCTGAGAAGGGTCCACCATTGCGATACGTACATCGCGCTGACTACAGAATATAGGAGGCGGTGTCTGAGCACGTCGACAATCTAGCGTCGACTGCCATGTGGCAGCTCCAGCATATGACCAGCGGTGTGCAGCCTTTTCTTTCACAATGCAATGGCCTTCATCATGTTTGCAGCGTTCCAAGCTTAGCGCCTTTCTTTACCACACCAAACACCATCAGCGGTTCCCAATCCGCACCGAAGCGACACTCGTTCGTACACTTGTATGCTACTGCCAAAAAGAGGGCATTAATAGATCTACAGCGTATCCTGTCTCAAGTGATGCATACCAAGCGCATGGTACCTGCAGGATGATCTCCGTACCCGATGTACTTTTATCCAGCGCGCAACAACACCAACAACAGTATTTCATACGAAGAATGTGCCTGTACCTCCCCGAAACAAGTTCGCATGCGCCGAGCATTTGTTTCGAACTCGCTCGTACTCGGGCGACCCGCATCCGTTGTTAGTTACGATTGGCCGACCCATCCGATGCTAAATTTAACTCACTCAGCCTCAATCAAGAATGCCCGAAAAGCGACAAC